AGTGCCTTTGAAGTAAGGCCTCCTAGAAGGCTTACCTCAGGCTGTTCCTGATATCTGTGTATACAGTCACCAACCCTAAACTCTACCATTGAGGGTCCAGAGATAGACTGGAGCTGGGAGTGTGGCTTGGTGGTAGACAGCTTGGCCTAGCATGCAGGAAGCCCTGGGTTCAATTCCTCAGTACAGAAAAAGCCAGACGTGGTAGGGTGGCTCAAGTGGTAGAGTGCTAGCCTTGAGCAAAAGGAGCTCAGGGACAGTGCCTAGGCCCTGAGTTCAAGCCCTAGGACTGGCAGAGAGAGAGAGAGAGAGACAGAGAGAGAGAGAGACTAGATACCAGCCTATTTCTCCTGTGAGTTCTTGGCTTCAGATGTGTAGATTTATCATAGTTCATAGTATTGTTGGGTGTTTTCCATTCCAAGAGCTTCTCTGACCCTATCAATTCCTTTCTTTTTGGCCTCCTTTCTCTGGCTACTCTGTTTCTGGAATCTTCTTTTGTTCCCACGACTGTTAGAACTCTTTAGAGGCTTTCCTGGACCACTGCTCTGGGGGAAATCTTTCTTCCCAAGAATTTCCTGTGAACTAAATCCTTGACTCTCAGATAAAAATATCTATGCATTATATAAACGCTATAAGTTGAGCTCAATTGTGTGCAGTATTTATTTTTATCTATTTATTTGTGTTTTTTTGTCTTTTCTTTTTTGGCACTGGGTAGCGGAACTTGCTAGGCAAGTGCTTTGCCACTGAGCTACATCCCAGCCCTACAATATCAATTGAAATGCAAGCTATACTCCCTTTGGCGATGTCCTACCCACCCATACCCACCCATTTCAGCCCAACCAGCTCAAAGTGATCATTTTGTTGTTATACTTCTCATCCCTGGACTGGCTTTCCCCCCCCCCCCCCGGATTCTCCATTTCTGTTAAAAAAAAAAGTCATGAATATCTCAGCTGTATTTTCTCTCCCTCTTATTTCATGGACATGAGTCTCTGCTGTTGCTTTATCCTCAATCTCTATTATCTTTTTTCACCTTGTCACAGAGCAGAAACACTCTTATTGGAAAACCATAGAGACTCTGTTGCCTTTGCCCTTCAAATTTCCAAAGACTTCAGGTAGTTCAACACATACTATTGTTGGGAGCTTTGCTAAGGGGCTGAGAAATGAAGACTTATATCTACCACCGAGCATGCTTTGACCTGCCTAACTTGCCCTTTTACCTCTGGAAGAACAGCCATCTTGTTTTGTTATTGATCTATTTTTGCCTGCCCTGGTGCTTAAATTCAGGGCCTGAGTGGTGCTGTCCCTGAGCCTTTTTGTGCTTGAGGCTAGTGCTCTACCATGTGAGCCACAGCACACCACTTCTAGCTTTTCCTGAGTAGTTTATAGATAAGTCTCACGGACTTTTCTAGCCACAAGCCCCAGATCTGGGCTAGCCTTGAACCGTGAACCTCAGATCTCAGCCTCCTGAGTTAGCTAGGATGACAGGCATGAACCACCGGCATCCAGCTAAGAACAGCCATATTTTCAGACCTTGTATATCTCAGCCTCTGCTGACACTTGTGGCATTGTGCCTTCCAGTGATTAGTTTGTACATCTGTTGCTCCTCTAGCCTGCAGGTTCCCAGAGGATTGGATCCCTGTCTGATTTACTTTTTAAAAATTTATTTTAGTTAAATATTCACTACGTGTTTATAAAGAATATAAGGCTTATCAAATATGTATATGATGTAATGAATCACAATATAATGAATACCTGGAAACCTGACTTGCCTTGTAAGAGATATGGTCCTCAGACCATTAATACTATCAAAGACCCTGGAAAGAATCCAGGGATCAGTAAATGTTAATGACCTAAAGGCTGACATAACTAATTAATTAATACTTATTATTGGAGTCATTTCTTTTCTTTTTTTTGTGTGGGGGGATCCGGTCGTGGGTCCTGAACTCTGGGCCTGGGCGCTGTCCCTCAGCTCTTCAGCTCAAGGCTAATCCTCTACCACTTGAACCACAGCGCCACTTCTGGCTCTTTTCTTTTTGCTTATGTGGTGCTGAGGAATCGAACCCAGGGCCTCATGCATGCAAGGCAAGTGCTCTACCACTGAGCCACCTTCCCAGCCCTGGAGTCATGTTTTTTAAAGCTTCTTAGTTGCTAAACAAACTCAGGTGAAGTGCACATAACTGGGGTATGTAACTCCCATAACTTGGCTCTTCTTCATGAGTCCATTATATGGACATTTGTATGGGTTTTTTGTTTGTTTGATTGTCTTTTGGTGCAAGTCCTAGAGCTTGAACTCAGGATCTGAGCACTGTCCTTGAACTTCTTTTTGTTCAAGGCTAGCACTCTATCACTTGGGCCACAGCTCTACTTTTTTTTTCTGGCTCTTTGGTCATTAATTGGAGATACCTTTCCTGCCTGGGCTGGCTTTGAACTGTGTTCTCAGCCTTCTAAATAGCTAGGATGACAGACAGGAGCCACCAGTGCCTGGCTGTTCAAGGGCTGCTTTTTAAATTCTAGCCACAAATTAAATGAAAACACAACAAATGTAACCACTTGGGAACTATTCATTTAGAGTACTTAGAAATTGCTTTGTTGAAAGATATTAAGGGAGCCCAGGTTGTAAGTGTGTGTGGACATAATCCTGGGCCTTACAGCTCATTCTAAAGATGACACATAGGGGTTCGACTCAAACATTTGATGTCTCACTGAAGAAAGAGGCAGGTCTGTGATTGAATGGCTAGGTGCATGCTATCCATAATTGCTGCAAGGAGTGTTAGCTGTTTAATAGTGGTTCTCTTTTCCAGAGAAGTCTTTATTCATGAGTGCGTTTCTCCCCCACTACTCAATTCCTTAGAAGGGGAGATTGATAACAGAATATCTTCGAAGGGTCATTTTCCATGGACTTCTTCTTCTTCTTCTTCTTCTTCTTCTTCTTCTTCTTCTTCTTCTTCTTCTTCTTCTTCTTCTTCTTCTTCTTCTTCTTCTTCTTCTCTTCTTCTTCTTCTTCTTCTTCTTCTTCTTCTTCTTCTTCTTCTTCTTCTTCTTCTTCTTCTTCTTCTTCTTCTTCTTCTTCTTCTTTTTTGGTCAGTTGTGGGGTTTGAACTCTGGGCCTGGGCGCTGTCCCTCAGCTCTTCAGCTCAAGGTGAGCGCTCTACCACTTGAGCCACAGCATCACTTCTGGTTTTCTGGTGGTTTATTGGAGATAGGAGTTTTATGGATTCTCCTGCCCAGACTGGCTATGAACCACGATCCTCATATCTCAGCCTCCTGAGTAGCTGGGATTATAGGCATGAGCCACCAGTGGCTGACTTTCCGTGGACTTCTTACCGCCCTTCTGAAAGCCAAATGCCCTGCTTTCTGGCTCCTGAATCTTTTTGGCAAGCAATGGCCTTCAGCTGGGAGCATCCTTATCTACAAAGATTGGGGTTCTAGGGCAGTAGGGATGAGGGCAGGCTTTTCCACTGATAGGTATAGCTGGGCCTCTGAAGTAGTTCTTAGCAAGCCTGCCTTGTCTCCTAGTAGCTAGGAGCTAGGAGACCAAAGAAAGTATAGAAGTTCCTGGAAGCCTTATTAAGCATTGACTTTCACTTTTTGTGCTTAGCCTCTTTCAAACAGAAAGGAGGAAAATTGACATAAAAGAACTTGAAATTGGGTCAACGGAGGAGGAATACAAGGGACTGGATTTTAAGCGTGAGTGTTTCTCCTCTACCACAAGGAACTAGACAACTTCCAGGCTCCTCTGTCACTAGGCCAGGTTAGGATGGATGGTGAGGTATCAGGCATCTTGGGCCTAACTGAAGGGCTGGATCTCAGATCACACACAGCTTTGCATGAAAAATACCAGACTTCATAAAAGACCTCATCCTTGGGGCTGGGAAGGGGCTCAGTGGTAGAGTGCTTGCCTAGTGTGTATGAAGCCCTGGGTTCAATTCCTCAGTACCACATACACAGAAAAAGCCAGAAGTGGCACTGTGGCTCCAGTGGTAGAATGCTAGCCTTGAGCAAAAGAAGCTCAGGGACAGTGCCCAGGCCCTGAGTTCAAGCCCTACGACTGGCACCAAAAACAACAACAAAAAGACTTCATTCTAGCTTGATAAACTTGGTTGGGCATTAAGCTAGCTGGAGGGTTCCAGAAGGAAAGTTTGCTTGTGAACACATAGTCCCAGGTATTGACATGACCTTGGGACCTTGGGGCTTTTTAAAAATACAGACTTCCAGCCTGGTGCCGGTGACTCACTTCTGTAATCCTAGCTTCTCAGGAGGCTAAGACCTGAGGATCATGGTTTAAAGTCAGCCTGGGAAGGAAAGTCCCTGAGACTCTTACCTCCAGTTAACCACCAAAAAGCCCTAAGTGGAGCTGTGGTTCAAGTGGTAGAGTGCTAACCTTGAGCAAAAAAGCTCAAGGACAGGCCAGTCTCTGGTGGCTCATGCCTGTAATCCTAGCTACACAGGAAGCTGAGATCTGAAGATCATGGTTCAAAGGCAGCACAGGCAGGAAAGTCCATGAGGCTCTTATCTCCAATAAACCACCAGAAAACCAGAAGTGGTGCTGTGGCTCAAGTGGTAGAACACTAGCCTTCAGCTGAAGAGCTGAGGGACAGAACTCAGGCCCAGAGTTCAAGCTCCATGACCGACAAATAAAGAAAAAGAAAAGCTCAGGGACAGCGCCTAGGCCCTGAGTTCAGGCCCCAGGTCAAGTACACACACACACACATATACACACACACACACACACACACACACAAATACAGATCCCCTCCCCCAACACACACACTAGACCTACTGAGTCAGACAGAATCCACTATTGGGTCTGGTGCTGGGGTTCAAGTGGGAGATACTTATCAGGACTTGGCACAAAGTGCAGCAAATGTTGGTGGGGTACTACTACTGGGCAGAAGGAGGGTGATGATGGGGCTTGAGATGGGGTCACCCTCAGCTGGTAGAGACCTCTGCAGACTGCTTCTCTAAGATGGATGTCTAACACAGGCTTTTCAATGTCATTTCAGTGTATCTCGGCGAGTGGACCCCAAGGAGCCCCTGAGTAGCCAGAGAGCAGCCTCCTCCACCCTAAAACAAGCTTCTGCCACAGCTCCTGGCCGAGAGAGTCCCCGAGAGACAAGGGTACAAGGCCCAGCAGGCCAGGAGGCCGATGGTCCCCGCAGGACGCTGCAGGTAGACAGTCGGACACAGAGATCAGGCCGGTCTCCTTCAGTGTCACCAGACAGAGGCAGCACCCCCACGTCACCCTATTCAGTTCCCCAGATTGCTCCCCTCCCCAGCAGTACCTTGTGTCCTATATGCAAGACCTCGGATCTCACGTCGACCCCCAGCCAGCCAAACTTCAACACCTGTACCCAGTGTCACAGCAAGGTATGCAACCAGTGTGGATTCAATCCCAACCCTCATCTCACCCAGGTAAGCACTCTGTGTGGGCTCTGTACGTTACCCACATCTGGTTACCATGCCTCTCTAGATTGCCTTCTCTTCTTCCATCAGTTCCCTTTTCATGCTCATTTCCCTTCACCATCAGCATCTAATGCACTCCTGATAAGCACAGAGTTCTACAGAGCTCCTAAGGAATTCCTTTACCCTGAACGCTTAGGCAGAGTCCCAGAGTAGCTGTTTGGGGTTTTTTTTTTCCCCGCCTTGGTCCAAGTTTGGCCTAGAAAAAAGGCCTTGGTACCACGAGCTAAAGTCTCACATCTGTAATCCTAGCTAACTTAGGAGGCTGAGATTTATTTATTTATTTACTTATTTATTTATTTATTGTCAGTTGTGGGGCCTGAACTCTGGGTCTGGGCGCTGTCCCTCAGCTCTTCAGCTCAAGGCTAACGCTCTACCACTTGAGCCACCGCACCACTTCCAGCTTTTTCTGTGTATGTGGTGCCCAGGAATCAAATGCAGGGCCTCATGCCTGCAAGGCAAGCACTCTACCACTGAGCCACCTTCCCAGCCCTGGGAGGCTGAGATTTAAAGATTGGAGTTTGAAGTCAGCCCAGGCAGGAAAACCTGTGAGACTCTTAGCTCCAATGAACAGAAAAGCCAGAAATGGAGCTGTGGTCAAGTGGTAGAGTACTAGTGTTGAGCAAAGAAGCTCAGGGACAATGCCCAGGCCCTAAGTTCAAGCCCCAGCACTGGCATATACACAAAAAGAAGCGGGCCAAAGGGGTCAAGTGGACTTCTACCAATGGTTGCTCCTAGGTAGCAGTAGAGCCTAAAGGGAGACAAATTTCCCTGACCTTGGGCCTCCATCTCTCTTTGACCCTCAGCCTCAGAGAGGGGGAAGCTGATTCTGGGAGCAAGTTTTAGGCCAAACCTCTCCCCCCAAGATCACTTTTCAGCAGCATTCTGGGAAGCCTCCTCTAGGTTTCAGTTCCATTTAGCTGAGGAGTTTGTGGTGGTAAAGAAGCTAGCCAGCCTGGTGCTGGTAGCTCACGCCTGTCATCCTAGCTATTCAGGAGGCTGAGATCTGAGGATCATGGTTCAAAGCCAGCCCATGCAGGAAAGACCGGGAGACTCCAATTGCCAATAAACCACTCAGGAAACCGAAAGTGGCGCTTGTGGCTCGAGTGGTAGAGTGCTTGCCTTGAGCTGAAGAGCTCAGGGAACACCCAGGAATTGGCATTGCCACAGGCTGCCTAACCAACCCCTTGTAGGCTGTCTTTGGTGCTCTGGAGGCTGAGTGCACCAAAGCATTGGCTGAGTTGGGCCATTGCATTGGAAACAATTGCATTAGATTGGTTGGCTTCCTCCAGCTCCTGTGAGGGTAACTCCAAAGCCTCTATTTCTCTTTGAATGGCTCTGTTTGGGATAGGACAGAGAGTGGTTATGGGCACCTCTGGGATTATTAGCAGCTGGAGCCATTTGGACCATGTTGGGAAGTGAGGTGTGGGGGGTGGCGGGGAGTGCTAAGTGAGAATAATTGTTCACAGGTCAGGGTCTATATATGCTGGTAGGTACTGTGGGTGTGGGATGTGTGGTTTGGGAGAGAGATAAGTGTGAGATTGTGAGGAAGGAGCTGTCGGTGTGGGGAGGGATGACTCAGTGCATTTAGAGTTGCTCTTAGAGTGTGGAGGCTTCCTGAGGAGGCGTGCACACTCATGATTATTGCATCTGTGATTAGAAATAGGCACATCTCTGCCCTGATCAGTTAGGTAAGTGTTGGCAGTATGAGGAAGGCCAGAGAAGATCATTCTGTATGTTTCTTTCTTTCCTTTTTTTTTCTTTTCTTTTGCCAGTCCTGGGGCTTGAACTCAAGGCCTGAGCACTTGTCCCTGAGCTTCTTTTGGTTTTGCTCAAAGCTAGCACTCTACCACTTGAGCCACAGTACCACTTCCGGCTTTTTCTGTGGATATGGTACTGAGGAATCAAACCCAGGGCCTCATGCATGCCAGGCAAGCACTCTACCACTGAGCCACCTTCCCAGCCCCAAACACTCTGTGCGTTTCTACCACTTTAGAAGGCAGAGGCATCTGATCTCTCATGCATAGGAAGGCTTGATCCGGTGCTCCATGTCTCTCTGTAGGGCATCTCTTTCTTGTGCTGGTCTCATCCTTTTTGGTTCCAGGTTCCCTGAAATGCTCACTCATGCTGTAGCCTCTGCTGGGGTGGTGGATGGGATACCATTCATGGAAACACAGGCTACTGGTGGGCAACCCAGTCTTCACATGCTATAGCTTCTGCTTCCAGGCTCCTCCAAGCCCAGGAACATCAGTGAGGTGGGAAAGGAGCCAGCCTTTAACAGTGCTTGGAAAAACAGTAGAGTAGGAGGGCCTTGGAGCTGCTCAGTCCATCTGCCTCTTTGTGCTGGGAGGAAGCCTAAGGCACAGGTCCAGGAGAAGAAAGGGCCTTAGACTTGCTGCAGACTCACAGTATTTTGGGAAATGAGCAGAACTCTCAGCCAAATACTTCAAACAACTGCAGGGCTGGACAAAATGAAATGCTCCTTTGCTATCTGAAGGTTTTTAGCATCCTCAGGAGCATTAAGAGCTTTGAGACAAGGCTGGAGTTGGCAGCCTTTCCCAGATTTGCTTTCAAAAAAGCATATTAGGGAGGCTGGGAAGGTGGCTTAGTGGTAGAGTGCTTGCCTAGCATGCATGAAGCCCTGGGATCGATTCCTCAGTATCCCATCCATAGAAAAAGCCAGAAGTGGCACTGTGGCTCAAGGGGTAAAGTGGCTAGCCTTGAGCAAAAAAGAAGCTCTAGAGACAGTGCCCAGGCCCTGAGTTCAAACCCCAGGACTGGCAAAAAAAAATAGAAGTATATTAGAGGCTATTGTTCCTTGGTGCCCGTTAAGGAATTGTTGGCCTTACCTATTCTGTAGCAGATTTGCTGGTCTTGGGGCTTGAACTGAGAGTACTATCCCTGAGCTTTTCTAAAAGTTCAAGGCTTGGGCTCTAGCCTTTGAGCCACAGTTCCACTTCTGGCTTTTTGGTAGTTTTCAGAGATAAGAGTCTCATGGACTCTTCTGCCTAGGTTGGCTTCAAGCCACAGTCCTCAGATCTCAGCCTCCTCAGTTGCTAGGATTAGAGGTGTAAGGCACCGGAGCCTAGCTGGATGCCCTATTTTATTGGGACCTCTAGGCTGAATTCAGTGGTGTTCTTCCTGTGAAAGAATACCAACCTCTGACACATTTTCCTGAGCAGTTGGCAGAGGGTCATTTTCCAACTAGAGCCATTATTACCCTTTGTCCCTTGGCGAAGAGCAGATTCCTTTCCCTGGACATGCTTCCTCGTGATGAGAAAACATGCTGGGAGGTTTGGTGCACACATCTGGATGTGATATCTGTCCTGAGAGACCACATCTGTTCTCCACATGGCTACCTTGACGTTATGTTGGCCAAGAAGGCTTTCCTAGAAATGGTCTGGTGTCTCTGAGCTGAACTACTGCTTGGCTTGAAGCTCTATACATGTGTAAAGTCAGGTGTCCCGGTGTCCCGGGGGGCAGGAAACTCAGCTCTATCACTCCCTTCCCATGTCAGTTACTTCCCATATGTAGCCCAGGGGGAAGAAGAAGAGGTTAGGGGGTACTACCACTCCTAGTACAGTTGAACTGTGGACAGTAGCTACAGGGGAGTATATGGAGATCCTGTCTGGGTAGGAAATGTACCTGGAATGGCTACTATGGTAATGGCCCTGGTTGAGGAGGCCTAGCAGTCTGGGTGCTGTGTCCAGGGCATGTCAGCAAGAGGCATTGCTTCCCACTAGACAGAGGGAGGGATCTGGGGACAAAGGCCCATTCAAGTGACATAGAGGCTCTCAAAGCCTCTGCGACCACTGATGAAACTTCTCTGGGTCTTTGGATATGTGACCATGGAAAATGGAATGTTTCCCCATATGGTTTATGAGTAGAGAGAAAGAGAGAGACCCATGGTTAGTGTCTAACTCTAGTTAGTACACAGACCAGGAGTGAGAAGAACTGGCCTACGCCTCTCACTGTTTTTGGAGGCTATTTCTTTGTGGATTATTCCAGAAGGTAAATAATTTCCCCTGTTTGAAACCCAGCAAAACACTTGGGAGAGGGGAGTTGTCTCTTTTTAGGGTTTGTACATCTTTCATTTCCTACAAGAGACCTTCCCTCTTTTTTTTTTTTTTGGTCGTGGGGCTTGAATTCTGGGCCTGGGTGCTGTCCCTCAGTTCTTCAGCTCAAGGCTAGCGCACTACCATTTAAACCACAGCGCCACTTCCGGTTTTCTAGTGACTAATTGAAGATAAGAGTCTTACAAACTTTCCTGTCTGGGCTGGCTTCAAACCTTAACCCTCAGATCTCAGACGCCTGAGTAGCTGGGATTACAGGCATGAGCCACCAGTGCCCAGCTCTAATCCCCTGTAAAGAAAACTACTGAGGTATAGGCAAGGTCTCAACCTTTCCTGGTCTAGTCCAAGACTCTGCTGAGACCAAGCCAGGAATGTTTAACCCACCATAGTCCTTACCCTACCCAATGGCAAGCTTTAAGCCTAGGCAGGCATCCAAAGTGGGTGGTGTGGAGAAGGAGCCGAAGCAATGGCTCTGAGCCTCTCCCTTCTACTGCCTGCAGCCCACTCCTTCCCGGCAAGGGCCAGGGCACCAGATGGCTCGGGGGTGGTGCTGTCAGTTTTGCACAGATCCCTCTTCTGTAGCCAGCAGCCTTGTCCCCTTTCCTCTGCCCCCCTCCAGACCACATTGCCACTTGGGCGGGATGGAAATGAGGAGCAGGTGTTAGAAGGACAGCAGTGTGCTATGGAGAGGGAAAGTTTCCTCTTCCTTAGTGGGTCACGTCTGCAGAGTCGAAGAGGCCATCCACATACTTTGCATATTAACATTGCATGGAAATTGGGGGGGGGAGATCAGAGGAACCCTTCCCCCCATTTATAGACAGGGAGACTAAATCTTCTGAAGTCTTGATTTATTCTGGTTCATTCTAGAGCAAAAGAGTTGGAGACCTAGCCCCGTTTGCTTTGGGGGGAAAAAAATCACAAATGGTACTACAGAATAGAATATTGGATAATAATGATAATATTCCACCTGCAGAATAATAAAATTGAACCCTTACCTTATACCAGCCTTATATATAAAATTAACCCAAATGGCTGGGAATGTGACTCAGTGGTAGAGTGCTTGCCTAGCATGCATGAAGCCCTGGGTTCGATTTCTTAGTACCACATATACAGAAAAAGCCAAAGTAGTGCTGTGGCTCAAGTAGTAGAGTGCTAGCCTTGACCACAGAGAAACTCAGGGACAGAGCCCAGACCCTGGGTTCAAGCCTCCCCCCCCAAAAAAAAAACCCAAAGTGGGTCAAATACCTAAACATAAGAGCTAAAACTATAAAATTCTTATAAGAAACTGCAGGGCAAAACCTTTACAACGTTGAATTTGGCAGTAACTTTCTTAGCTATGACCATCTAAGAAATGACCATCAAAAGAAAAAAATAGTTAACAAATTGGGCTTCATGAAAATATATACTTGTGAATCAGAAGATACTATCAACAGAATAAAAAGTTAGCTCATGCTGCTGGGTACCAGTGACTTACACCTATAACTCTAGCTACTCAGGAAGCTGAGATCTGAGGACTGTGGTTTGAAGCCAGCCCAGGTAGGAAAGTCTGTGAGACTAATATCTCCAAATAACCACCAAAAAAGCCAGAAGTGGAGTTGTGGCTCAAGTGGTAGAGCTCTAGCCTTCAACAAAAGAAGCTCAGAGGGGTTGGGCATGTGGCTTAGGGGCAGAGTGTTTATCTAGCATGCATGAAGCCATAGGTTCCGTTCCTCAGTACCACAGAAACATAAAAAACTGGAAGTGGCTCTGTGGCTCAAGTGATAGAGTGCTAGCCTTGAGCAAAATAAGCTCAGGGACAGTACCCAAGCCCTGAGTTCAAGCCCCAGGACTGGCAAAAAAGAGGAAGAAGGAGAAGGAGGAGGAGGAAGAGGAGGAGGAGGAGGAGGAGGAAGAAGAAATAGGAGGATGAGGAAGAGGAGGACGAGGAGGTGGTGGTCAGGGACAGTGCCTAGGCCCTGAGTTCCAGCCCCAAGATCAGCACACAAAAAAACAAAACTATTATAGGTAAAATGTACATATATGGAATATACAGATCTTAGATGTACCATTCGATGATCTTGACAATATCAGGTTGGCGACCTCATGGGTTATGGGTTAGCTACAGTAACAGAGGGTCAGTTCAGTGGAAGTTCAGAGGGAAGGGCCAAGGACTTTTGAGAAAGAGAGGTGAGGATGAAGAGCCCTGGAGAGACCTTCCAACAGGAGAGAAGAGTCGGAGGAGCCAAGAGAGGAGCCCTGAGGATTCCAGGGGTTTTGAAGAGGCTGAGACAAGGGAGGTCAGCCTTTTCTAGACTGGAGTAGCACTGAGGGGAAGTATAGGGAAAAACCAGTTGGTCCTTGGTATATTTTAGGACACAGTAGATAGATCTGGGAGGGAGAGAAGAGTAATGTAGAAAGAATTGAGGAGATAACATTGCTGGCCTCTTTTTTTTTTTTTTTTGGATGGTCATGGGGCTTGAACTCTGGGCTTGAGCACTGTCCCTCAGCTCTTCAGCTCAACGTGAGCACCCTACCACTTGAGCCACAGCACCACTTCCGGTTTGCTGAGTGGTTTATTGGAGCTAAGAGTTGCACAGACTTTCCTGCATGGGCTGGCTTTGAACCATGATCCTCAGATCTCAGCCTCCTGAGTAGCTAGGATGACAGATGTGAGCCACCTGCAGCTGCCTGCTGACCTTGCTTTGTGTCTCTTATCGAGAACGTGGCCAGTGACTCACAGCCCAGAAAGGGATGGAGTCATACTCATCCGTGGGGTCCTCTCAGGTACCTTTGAATTTGACACCAACAGGGAGGGCTCCTTTATGAGCAGTTTCTATGATGTTTCAACTTGTACCAAAATGGAAAGCCTGAATACAGCCTGCAGCATGATGTCTATGCTAAGTGACACTAAATGCCTGCTCTCCCAGGGAGGGGTGGGGTTCAGAGGCAAGCAAGACAGATATGCTGCCCTCTTTCTGTGAGGAGAGATACCGGGGAATGGGGGATGACAAGAGCATCTATTACTGTACACTAAAGAAGACTAACTACAGGGATGGAAGGGTGGCTTAGTGGTAGAGTGCTCGCCCCGCGTGCATGAAGGCCCTGGGTTCGATTCCTCAGTACCATACACAGAAAAAGCCACAAGTGGCACTGTGGCTCCAGTGGTAGAGCGCTAGTCTTGAGCAAAAGAAGCTCAGGGACAGTGCCCAGGCCCTGAGTTCAAGCCCCAGGACTGGTCAAAAAAAGGGAAAGTCTTGTTGGAGAGCTCTCTCTCTCAGTGTCTTTTGTTGGAAGGTTCTCGCATGCCTAATCTGCCTACCTGAGCCAGGCCACAGGAGAGTCTGGGGATAGGGTGCAGTCGAGACTCAGAATGGAAGAGGCCGGATAGAAATAGCTGGGCCCATCTGGATGGAAGATGAGTCATTAAGGGGGGGGGGGTTGAAGCCGTTTTCTTGAAGAGGTTCTATTTTAGCTGAGATGCTTGGGACACAGCTTGGGGGCTGGAGAGAGGAAGGTGGTGGTGGTGAGTGCTGCAGTTTTAGCTTGTGTGTCTTTGTTCACCTCTGTCCAGAACCGAGGCAGCGTCACCCCAAAAAGCACCCCCACCTGATGAAATCAACCCACAGCTAGAATAGTGGAGGCCTGTTGCCCTGAAAGAGTGAGAAATTACACTTTTTTTTTCTTTTGCTGGTCCTGGGGCTTGAACTCAGGGCCTGAGCTCTGTTCTTGAGCCTCTCCGTACCCCAGGTTAGCATTCTACCACTTGAGCCACACTGCCACTTCCAGCTTCTTTTTTTTTTTATTACGTGGGTACTGAAGAATCGAACCCAGGGCCTCATGCATGCTAGGCAAGCATTCTACCACTAAGCCACCTTCCCAGCCCAAGAGGACACATTCTTAGGTTCCATAAACCTGTCCTCCCCTCTGCCATGAGTACCCCAATCCTGGCTACTCTGATAGCATTGCTTCTCTCCTTAGGTCAAAGAATGGCTCTGTCTGAACTGTCAGATGCAAAGGGCTCTGGGAATGGACATGACCACTGCACCTCGCTCCAAGAGCCAGCAGCAGCTCTACTCCCCAGCTCTGTCTCCTGCCCACTCCCCAGCCAAACAGCCCCTGGGGAAGCCAGAACCAGAGAGATCTCGGGGCTCAGGGGGACCACAGCCTAGCCCCCGCCAGGCTGAGACAGCCAGGGCCACTTCAGTGCCAGGGCCTGCCCAAGCAACTGGCCCTCCAGAGGTGGGAAGGGTGTCTCCACAGCCCCCTCTCCCTACCAAGCCTTCCACAGCTGAACCCAGGCCACCTTCAGGAGAGGCCTCGGGCAAAAGTGCCACCACAGTGACCTCTGGGCTTGGTGCTGGCGAGCAGACCCAGGAGGGCCTAACTGGGAAGATCTTAGGCCTTGGCGCATCAATACTCACCCAGGCCAGTACCCTCATGTCTGTGCAGCCGGAGGCTGAGCCTCAGAGTCAGCCTTCCCCAAGTAAGGGGCCACCCAAGATTGTCTTTAGTGATGCCAGCAAGGAGATTGGCCCAAGACCCCCAGGTTCCGGGCCTGGGCAAGCCCCTGGAGCCAAGACTGAGCCTGGGGTTAAAACAGGTCCCGGATCAGGGCCTGGAGCCATGGCAAAACCTGGAGGAGCAAGTCCAAAGCCTGGCAAAGCAGAACATCCGGTAGCATCGAAGGCTGCTGCCAAGCCAAAGACCACGCTGAAGGAAAGGGTCCTCTGCCCACTGTGCCAAGCCGAGCTCAATGTGGGTGGCAAGGACCCCGCCAACTATAACACCTGCACCACCTGCAAGCTCCAAGTATGCAACCTGTGTGGCTTTAACCCTACACCCCACCTGGTGGAGGTAAGAGATGGGGGCCAAGCCTGCTCCCTTAAACCTTGGTGGGGAGTGGGGGCTGGGATAAGAGGAACATTGGAGTGAGAAAGAACTCAAGAGAGCTGGTCTGTTTGTTTCTTTTTTGCCAGTCCTGGGACTTGAATTCAGGGCCTGGGCACTATCCCTGAGCTTCTTTTTGCTCAAGGCTAGCGTTCTACCACTTGAGCCACAGTACCACTTCCGGCTTTTTCTGTGTATGAGGTACTGAGGAATCGAACCCAAGGCTTCATGCATGCCCAAATCAGCACTATACCACTAAGCCACCTTCCCAGCCAAGTGCTGGGTTTACAGCAGTTGTGGCTGAGAGCTAATGCGATAGAGGGATTATACTCCCATTCCTGCCCTGCCTTAGGCTCCAGTCCTTCTGATCAGAGAATTAACTGGCACCATGGGCTGGGGGAATGGTGCCTTATAGCTTCTGACTAGCTGACTAGTGCCTCCAGGCTTGACTGGGGCTCTGAGCTGGCCCCCCCATTTCCAGCTACCATGTGCATGTTCTTGATGAAAGATGCCAACCTGCTTAGGTAGGCCTAACCTGAGGTTATTATGCTCTTGATCTGTGACCCTCAATAGGGTAGGGAGTTGAAGTCTATGAGGCAGAGGGCTACACCGCAGGCCCAGAGTGGGACCAGAGTTTTCTCAGTCCAAGCCAGCCAGCTGATAGCTACTCTTGATTCTCTCCCCTGAGGTTTATGGATGTTAATGTTTACATATCAAAGCCATAGCCTTTGGTCTCTATATTTTCCCTTGCTTGAACCTGGGCTCTATTAAGAGCTGCTTCTGAGGTTGTTTAGAGATAATGAACAGCCTGTTCCCAGCACGGTTCAGGTGGCTCACACCTGTCATCCTAGCTACTCAGGAGGCTGAGATCTGAGGATCACAGTTCAAATCCAGCCTGGGCAGGAAAGTCTGTGAGACTTATCTCCAATGAACCACCAACAAATGCCAGAAGTGGAGCTATGGCTCAAGTGGTAGAGCACTAGCCTTGACAAAAGCTCTGGACAGCACCCAAGCCCTGAGTTCAAGCCCAGGACCAGCATGATCTATATAGTCCCCTGATTTCTAGATAGAAGAAGCAATAAAATGGAATCCCATCCCTTTTTTTTTCTTTTGAAACTTCCTCTGGAAAAAAAAAGTAACCATAGTGCTATTAAGTGAGTCATTTCATAATTAAGAGTTGTTGATTCCAACAATTTTTTTTTACCGATTTATCTTTTTGAAGGATAATAGTACCCTCTGGCTTAATTTTTAATTAACTTTCTGTGCAAAATCGTGTGGAGGGAATTAGTAGAATTAGAATTGTTATAGCTGCAGTGCCAGTTTCTCCGTATCAGTTGCCAAGATTCCAGCTGTACCCTTGAGAAGCTGAGCCTCCTTTAGGCCAAAGGCCTGGCATTTGTGGTATGTGGGGTTAACCTGGGCTTCCAGTGAAGCCAGCAGCTGCCTTGCTTCTGATCATCCTTAGGATGCTCCTGGCTTAGTGATCTTAGAGAGCCCTGTCTTTCCCCCATGGGGAATGAGAGACAATAATACTGCTCTTAGGTTTCCATGGGAACCAGGTGTGATGCTGCAGATGCTTATGCAAGATGGTGGCTATGAGAGGGAAGAGTTTCCACAAGCCCCTCACAGGGCGTGTGAAGGGATGTTGTAATCTGTTCAAGCTGTTGGGTCTCATGAAAAACACTACATAGGGAATAAACACAGTTAAGTGCTGGGGGAGGAGGGGGGCCTAGCTCAGACACAAGGGTACACACTGTGGGTATCCGGGGAGGACTCCTCTTATAGAAGGAAAGGCACAGAAAAGGGGAGTTCAGGCATGTCCAGGGACAGGAAGGGACATTGACATCTGTCCATGACACAGAGTCAGGACAGATCAGAATGTCCAAGCCTGTGATCCAGTATCTGAGTCCTTACTTCTGGGTATCCTTTTTTTTTTGCCAGTCCCAGGGCTTGAACTCAGGGCCTGGGCACTGTCCTTGAGCTCAAAGCTAGCACTCTACGACTTGAGCTACAGCGCCACTCCCAGATTTTTCTGTGTATGTGGCACTGAGGAATCGAACCCAGGGCTTCATGCATGCTAGGCAAGCGCTCCACCACTAAGCCATATCCTCAGCCCCATTGACTATTCTTTTTTTGTCTGGAGGTTTGCATTCACTTCCCTCTGGTCTAGCAATGGAGCTGAGGGTGTACAGGGCCAGGAAGCTGGCCATAGAGTATAGATCAGGATAGGGTCAACATAACCAGACTGGCACACAAGCCAGTTCCACAAATTAAGAGAATATATGGCTTTCAGGCTTATTCAGATAATAGCAAGCAGTCCAGGGAAGATGTCCAACATCCAGTAGAGTCTATCTGGTCTTTCTGGGTCTACAAAGTATACTAGCTGGCGTGCCTTGTTCCTGTGAGCTCTCAACTCCCTTCCCCTTTCTCACCCTAAAATGATACTCTAAGTTACCAAGTTCCATCTACTACCTGCACATCTGGAAGACAAAGGGAATAGATAGATGATCAAGGGTGGCGGTAGGGGCATGCTGGTTTGGGAGTGGATCAGAAGAGACTAAATTAAAAAAATTAGGACCTCAGCAACTATGTTCCAGCCCCTCGTCACAGACATTTGACATAGCCTGCCTTCCATCTATCGCTCAGAAGACCTGGACCTGGGCCAGGTCTCTCCTGGATCCACCCCTCCCAGCCCCAGTTCCTTGTACATTTTTCTTCCAACTCCCAGAGAGCTAAGAGAAGGGCCTCCAGCAGCCAGGTCAAGGGCTTATTTTTAGCTTTTACTTCACACACCGCCTCCTGCCCTCCCTTTCTTGCTGCTTGCTATAGCAGAACTAGGAGCAACAGAGCCACCAGGCAGCCTTTTCTGCAACCTGGCTGCCTCCATAAATAGAGCTGTGAGGGAGCAAAGTCCCAAAAAGCTTGTGATCGTAGGTGAAATACTCTGCTGAGGGTTCTACCTTCAGCTCAGGTAAGCAGGTCTTTGTAGGGGCTGTGTTCTTGGAATTAATCTATACCACGCTTCCAAGGTGCCCTTGTTTCAGTTAGATCATTGCTTCCGGGGCAAGTCTGCAGCCGAAAGGTGGGGGTCAGGGGCTTACCCAGTCACCAGTGGGGGCTAAGGGAGATGAGTCAACTTCAAGAGGCGTTTTCATTTGTGTCCATCCTGGGGTTTGAACTCAGGGCCTAGCCACTGTCCCTGAGCTTTTGTTGGCAAGGTTAGCGCTCTACCACATGAGCCATAGCTCAACTTCTTGCTTATTTGGTGTTTCATTGGCAATAAGAGTCTCACAGAATTTCCTGCCTGAGCTGGCTTTGAACCATGATCCTCACATCTCAGCAGGGATTACAGACGTGAACCACTAGTCCCTTGTGTGCTCTCTTCTCCCCACTCCTCCCGACTTTGTGCAAGTACTGAGGCTTGAACTCAGGGCCTGGGAACCATCCCCTACCATTTGAGCCACAGCTGCACTTTCAGCTTTTTGCTGTTGAACTGGAGATTAAATCTCATGGACTTTCCTTCCAATCACACTCCTCAGATCTCAGCTGCTTGGAGTAGCTTGAATTCTAGGCAGGAGCCACCAGGGCCTGGTGTTGGTCTTGGTGATTTTTCATCATCCTTCCTTCTGTTTCCTTGCAGAAAACAGAGTGGCTCTGTCTGAACTGCCAAACTAAGCGGCTACTGGAGGGAGGGCTGGGAGAGCCGACTCCATTGCCGCTGCCCACCCCACAGCAGCCCCCTACGGGAACCCCTCCTCGTGCAGCTGGAACAGCCCCTCTGAAGCAGAAAGGGCCACCCACCGTGGCCCAGCCATCAGGCCCGCTGACTGCCAAGACCAGCCCCCTACCCACCAAGGCCAGCCCCCAGCCTACCAAGGCCAGCCCCCAGCCTACCAAGGCCACGCCCCAGCCTACCAAGGCCACGCCCCAGCCTACCAAGGCCACGCCCCTGCCTACCAAGACCAGCCCCGTGCCTACCAAGGCCAGCGTCCAGGCCAAGCCACCCAGGGCTTCTGAACCCAGCAAGACCTCAAGCAGTGCCCAGGAAAAGAAGACAGGAGTCCCTGCAAAAGCTGAGCCTGTGCCGAAGCCACCTCCAGAGCCCACCATGCCCCCTGGAACTCCTAAAGGAAAGAGTGGGGTGAGAAGGACAGAACCTGTCTCTACTGTCATCAAGGCTGGTCTAGAAGCGCCCAAGGGAGGGGAAGCAGAGGTCAGTTCCCTACTTCCCAGAGAACCTAGCTTTCAGATGGGACGGTCTGGGATAGGATTTCTCTTCCTGGAGGGCTGAGGGGTACAGCTAGGATAGACTGTGGGTGCTATAGAGGAGAGCAAGGACACCCCAGAAAAAGAAAAGCCTAGATTAAGCTTGGATAGGCCCAGTGACTCCAAGATCAAGACGGGTCTTGAGTCTGACACCTTGTATGCTTTGCTGAGTTTGATGCTCTTTTATGTTGTTGTTGTGTGTGCCAGTCTTGGGGCTTGACCTCAGGGCCTGAGTACTGTCCCTGAGCTTTTATTCTCTTGTGCTTTACCACTTGAGCCCCAGCTGCACTTCCAGCTTTGGGGTGGTTCATTGGAGCTAAGAGTCTCATGGACTTTCCCGACCTGGCTAGCTTCAAACCTCAATCATCAGATCTCCTGCATAGGTAGGATTACAGGAGTGAGCAGCTAGGACCTAGGGATGGTCTTTTATCTAGTTAAAATTTCTCACTGAAGGTCTAGGACTGCTTGGGGCTTACCATGGCACCTGTAAATCCTTCAATGCCAGAGAGATAAGGTCATTAGTAGGCTTTAAACCATGGGTGGAGAACATTTGGCCCATCTAAGACCCTCAAAACCATTTGGCATTTGGTGAGACCAACGTGTATGCTTCTTGTGTGCTTTCTGTTGGCTGCCTGTGTTGATAGATCTGTATGACCCACCGATGTCACAAATATCCAAATGGCCATAAGCAGAAAATAGGTTCCTCATCCCTTACAACCTTTGGGAGGTGGAGGGGCCCTTCCCTAAGGCCCTGGGGGTTGACAGAGAGGGCTGGGAGTCAGTGTCTGCTTCTCCCCTTTGCTGCAGGAACCAGTCAGCAAGCCTTACTCTCAGGACCTGTCTCGGAGCCCACAGAGCCTCAGCGACACGGGCTATTCCTCTGACGGTGTGTCTAGCTCCCAGAGTGAGATCACAGGTGTTGTGCAGCAGGAGGTGGAGCAACTTGACAGTGCCGGGGTGTCAGGGCCACGCCCTCCCAGCCCCTCGGAGCTGCACAAGGTGGAGAGCAGCATGCGGCCTTTGCTGGAGGCCAAGGCGGTGGCCCCGAGTGGGAAGCCGAGCAAACCACCCAGCGGCAGCACGGTGGAGGAGCAGAAGCGCCGGCCTCACTCCTTATCCATCATGCCTGAGGCCTTCGACTCGGATGAGGAGCTGGGGGATATACTGGAGGAAGAGGAAGATTCCCTAGAATGGGGTCACCAGAGAGATCAGCAGGACACAGCTGAGTCCTCAGATGACTTCGGTAGTCAGCTGAGGCATGACTATGTAGAAGACAGCAGCGAAGGTGGCCTGTCCCCTCTCCCACCCCAGCCTCCAGCCAGGGCCACAGAGCTGACTGATGAAGAATTTATGCGACGGCAGATCCTAGAGATGAGTGCTGAGGAAGACAACCTGGAGGAGGAGGAGGACACTGCCATCTCCAGGCCCGGCTTGGCTAAACACGGTACCCAGAAAGGTAGTTCCCGGCCTAGGCCCGAGCCCAGCCAAGAGCCAGCAGCAGCAGCACCGCCCAAGCGGCGTCTGCCCCACAATGCTACCACGGGTTATGAGGAACTGCTGTCTGAGGGCGACCCAGCAGAAGCCACCGATGGCACCCTGCAGGGTGGCCTGCGTCGCTTCAAGACCATTGAGCTCAATAGCACAGGGAGCTATGGCCATGAGCTAGATCTGGGCCAAGGCCCCGATGCCAGTCTGGACAGGGAACCCGAGCTGGAGATGGAAAGCTTGACCGGTTCACCCGAGGACCGCTCCCGGGGGGAGCACTCCTCTACACTGCCTGCCTCGACCCCCAGCTACACATCAGGCACTTCGCCCACTTCCCTTTCTTCCCTGGAGGAGGACAGCGACAGCAGTCCCAGCCGCCGGCAGCGACTGGAAGAAGCCAAGCAGCAACGCAAGGCCCGACATCGTTCCCATGGACCCCTGCTGCCCACCATCGAAGACTCCTCCGAAGAGGAGGAGCTGCGGGAGGAGGAAGAGCTGCTGCGGGAGCAGGAGAAGATGCGGGAGGTGGAACAGCAGCGCATCCGGAGCACAGCCCGCAAGACCCGACGGGACAAGGAAGAACTCAGGGCCCAGCGACGCCGGGAGCGTTCCAAGACCCCACCCAGTAACTTGTCCCCCATCGAAGATGCGTCTCCCACAGAGGAACTGAGGCAGGCGGCCGAGATGGAGGAGTTACACCGCTCCTCCTGCTCTGAGTACTCCCCCTCTCCCTCCCTCGATTCGGAGGCTGAGACCCTGGATGGCGGCCCCTCTCGATTGTATAAATCGGGCAGTGAGTACAACCTGCCCACCTTTATGTCTCTCTACTCCCCAACAGAGATGCCCTCAGGCAGTGCAGCGACCCCCAGTTCCGGACGGCCCCTCAAAAGCGCCGAGGAGGCCTATGAGGAGATGATGAGAAAAGCTGAGTTGCTCCAGCGCCAACAAGGCCAATTGTCAGCAGCCCGAGGACCCCATGGGGGCCCCCCTCAATCCACAGGCCCCCGGGGCCCAGGATCCTTTGAATACCAAGACACCCCAGACCGTGATTATGGCAGGGCCACCCCGTCAGCCTCAGAGGGCACAGCTGCCAACCTGGGAGCCACTGTGTACGAGGAGATTCTCCAGACGTCACAGAGCATCACGCGCATGCGCCAGGCCTCTTCTCGGGACCTGGCCTTTGCTGAGGACAAGAAGAAAGAGAAGCAGTTTCTGAATGCAGACAGTGCGTACCTGGACCCCATGAAGCAAAATGGTGGCCCACTGACCCCTGGGACCAGTCCCACCCAGCTCGCGGCTCCCGTGTCTTTCTCCACTTCCACTTCCTCTGACACTACTGGAGGCCGAGTTATTCCTGATGTCCGGGTCACTCAGCATTTTGCAAAAGAGCCTCAGGATCCCCTCAAGCTGTACAGCTCTCCTGCCTCCCCCAGTTTAGCCTCCAAGGAGGTAGGGATGTCTTCCCAGGGTCCTGGGACCCCAGCCACTACAGCTGTAGCTCCTTGTCCCCCAACCCTCCCACGAGGATTTGTAACTCCACCCACCCCAGCTGACTTGGACCACAGTGCTTCACCCTCTTCCACAGCCCACAGCTATGGACAGACCCCAACCACTGCAAACTATGGGTCTCAAACAGAGGAGCTATCCCAGGCTCCCAGTGGCCCTGTGCTAGGAGGATGGGCCACCAGAGAGAAGCCTGCCAGTGGGATTGATGGAGAGGTTGGTACTCACCAACCTTCCCGGGCCTATTCCTACTTTGCAGGATCGAGTCCACCTCTCTCTCCATCTTCTCCCTCAGATAGCCCCACTTTCTCTCCAGGGAAGCTGGGAAGGGCCACAGCTGAGTTTTCCACACAGACGCCAAGCCCGACCCCCGCCTCGGACATGCCCCGGAGCCCTGGGGCACCCACTTCCTCTCCCATGGTACCCCAAGGGACACAAACGCCACACCGACCCAGCACACCACGCCTGGTGTGGCAGCAGTCATCTCAAGAGGCTCCCATTATGGTCATCACGCTCGCATCGGATGCCTCCAGCCAGACCAAGATGGTACATGCCAGTGCCTCCACCTCCCCACTGTGCTCACCTACAGACACCCAACCCACCAGCCACAGTTACAGCCAGACCACACCTCCAACAGGGTCTCAGCTGCCCCCGGAGCCACCCGGGCCGCCTGGCTTCCCACGAGCACCGAGCACTGGTGCCGATGGGCCCCTGGCGCTATATGGTTGGGGGGCTCTCCCAGCTGAAAACATTTCCCTGTGTCGGATCTCTTCTGTCCCTGGGACCTCGCGAGTTGAGCCAGGGCACAGGCTCCCTGGCAGTGCGGTGGTAGACCTCCGCACGGCTGTCAAACCCACACCGATCATCCTCACGGACCAAGGCATGGATCTGACCTCGCTAGCTGTGGAAGCAAGGAAGTATGGCCTGGCCTTGGATCCGATTCCAGGAAGGCAGTCGACCACGGTACAGCCTTTGGTTATCAATCTGAATGCCCAAGAACAGACCCATACTTTTCTAGGCACTGCCACCACCGTGAGCATCACTATGGCTTCATCTGTCCTCATGGCTCAGCAAAAGCAACCAGTGGTCTACGGAGACCCCTTCCAGAGCCGGCTTGACTTTGGCCAAGGTTCAGGGAGCCCTGTATGCCTGGCACAGGTCAAGCAAGTCGAACAGGCTGTCCAAACAGCTCCATATAGAAGTGGCCCCCGGGGAAGACCCAGGGAGGCCAAGTTTGCCAGATATAATCTGCCCAACCAGGTAGCACCCCTGGCCAGAAGAGATGTTTTGATTACCCAGATGGGCACTGCCCAGAGCGTTAGCCTCAAACCAGGATCAGTGCCAGAGCCTGGTGCCGAGCCACACCGGGCCACGCCCGCAGAGCTGCGGCCACATGCTCTGCCAGGTGCCAGGAAGCCACACACCATGGTGGTACAGATGGGAGAGGGTACAGCGGGCACAGTAACCACCCTGCTCCCAGAGGAGCCAGTGAGTGCCCTGGACCTCACTGGCATGAGGCCCGAGAGCCAGTTAGCATGCTGTGACATGGTCTACAAGTTTCCCTTTGGTAGTAGCTGCACTGGTACCTTCCACCACCCCCCCAGTGCACCCGAGAAGAGTGTGGCAGATGCTGCCCCCCCTGGCCAAAGCAGTGGCCCCTTCTATACTCCCCGAGATCCTGAGCCCGATGAACATCCCAGCTACCGGGCACGTGAAGAACAGAGGCCCTACCCGCAGGGCCTCCCGGGCAGATTATACTCCTCCATGTCTGACACCAATCTGGCTGAAGCTGGCCTCAACTACCATGCACACAGGATCGGACAGCTCTTCCCGGGCCATGGACGTGAATCCGCTGTGGATCTCAGTTCGTTGAAACATTCCTACAGCCTGGGCTTTGCAGATGGACGCTACCTAGGGCAGGGCTTGCAGTATGGCTCGTTCACAGACCTGCGCCATCCCACAGATCTCTTGGCTCACCCTCTCCCCATGCGACGCTACAGCTCGGTGTCAAACATCTACTCCGATCACAGGTATGGTCCACGGGGCGATGCAGTTGGCTTTCAGGAGGCCAGCCTGGCCCAGTACAGTGCCACGACAGCCCGAGAGATCAGCCGCATGTGCGCGGCCCTCAACTCCATGGACCAGTATGGCGGGCGGCATGGCCCTGGCAGTGGTGGCCCTGATCTTGTGCAGTACCAGCCTCAGCATGGACCTGGGCCCAGTGCCCCTCAGGGGCTGGCTCCCCTAAGACCTGGCCTCCTTAGCAACCCCACTTTCCCAGAAGGCCACCCGAGCCCTGGAAGCCTGGCCCAGTATGCGCCAACAGCAGGCCAGGGTGCAGCAGTGAGACAGTTGTTGCCATCCACAGCCACGGTGCGTGCAGCCGATGGCATGATCTACTCGACTATCAACACTCCAATTGCTGCGACCCTACCCATCACCACCCAGCCTGCCTCCGTCCTGAGACCCATGGTGCGCAGCGGCATGTACCGCCCTTATGCATCAGGTGGAGTCACAGCCGTGCCACTCACCAGCCTGACCCGTGTGCCCATGATTGCCCCTCGGGTACCTCTGGGGCCTGCAGGCTTATACCGATACCCTGCACCAAGTAGATTCCCTATTGCTTCTGGTGTCCCACCAGCTGAGGGACCGGTCTATCTGGGAAAACCTGCAGCTGCCAAAGCCCCAGTGACAGGAAGTGCATCTCGACCAGAGCTGCCCGCAGGGGCTGCACGGGAAGAACCACTTTCGACACCTGCTTCTACTTCCACCAAGGAAGCCCCAGTGGCTCCTACCCCTGCCCCACCAGCTGGTCAAAAGCCACCAGCCGTAGATGCTGCTGTTGCTGGGGCCAGTAGCCGACCTGGACTTGAGAAGGAGGAAGGCTCTCAGGAAGAGCGGCAGCGGAAGCAACAGGAACAGCTGCTGCAGCTGGAGCGGGAACGGGTGGAGTTGGAGAAGCTGCGACAGCTGCGGCTGCAGGAGGAGCTGGAGCGGGAGAGGGTCGAGCTGCAGAGGCATCGGGAGGAAGAGCAGCTGCTGGTGCAGCGCGAGTTGCAAGAGCTGCAGACCATCAAGCACCACGTGCTGCAGCAGCAGCAAGAAGAACGCCAGGCTCAGTTCGCCCTGCAACGCGAACAGCTCGCGCAGCAGCGCCTGCAGCTGGAGCAGATCCAGCAGCTGCAGCAGCAGCTGCAGCAGCAGCTTGAGGAACAGAAGCAGCGGCAGAAGGCACCCTTCCCTCCAGCCTGCGAAGCACCCAGCCGAGGGCCTCCACCAGCTGCTACCGAGCTGGCTCAGAATGGCCAGTACTGGCCGCCTCTGACCCATGCAGCCTTCATTGCTGTAGCAGGGACAGAGGGTCCTGGGCAGCCTCGTGAACCCATGCCACACCGAGGACTCCCCAGCTCGGCTTCAGACATGTCGCTACAAACTGAGGAACCTTGGGAGGCCAGCCGCAGTGGCATCAAGAAACGGCATTCCATGCCCCGCCTGAGGGATGTGTGCGAGCCGGAGTCAGGGCCTGAGCCGAGCACGGTCAAGAGAATCGCAGACAGCAGTGTGCAAACCGATGATGAAGATGGGGAAGGCCGCTACCTCCTGACGCGGAGGCGCAGGACACGCAGGAGTGCTGATTGCAGCGTGCAGACAGATGACGAGGATAACGCCGAGTGGGAGCAACCCGTTCGCCGCCGGAAGTCCCGCCTTTCCCGTCACTCCGACTCCAGTGCTGACAGCAAGCACGAGGCCACTGCCTCTTCCTCCACTGCCGCCACCGCTGCCAGGGCCATGAGCAGCGTGGGCATCCAGACCATCAGCGATTGCTCCGTGCAGACGGAGCCTGACCAGCTGCCCAGGGTCTCTCCAGCCATTCGTATCACCGCCGCCACCGACCCCAAGGTGGAGATTGTCAGGTACATATCAGCACCCGAGAAGACCGGGCGTGGGGAGAGCCTGGCCTGCCAGACGGAGCCCGATGCGCAGGCCCAAGGTCTGGCTGGCACACAACTCGTTGGGCCAACTGCCATCAGCCCTTACCTGCCCGGTATTCAGATCATCACGCCAGGAGCCCTGGGCAGATTTGAGAAAAAGAAGCCAGATCCTTTGGAGATTGGGTACCAAACGCACCTGCCCCCGGAGTCTCTGTCACAGCTTGTGAGTCGTCAGCCTCCTAAATCTCCCCAGGTTCTGTACTCGCCAGTCTCCCCCCTGTCCCCACATCGGCTCCTGGATACCTCCTTTGCTTCCAGTGAGAGGCTGAACAAGGCTCACGTGAGTCCCCAGAAGCACTTCACGACCGACAGCGCTCTCCGCCAGCAGACGCTGCCTCGTCCCATGAAGATCCTGCAGCGGTCCTTGTCTGACCCTAAACCCCTCAGCCCCACCGCCGAGGAATCTGCCAAAGAGAGATTCTCCCTCTACCAGCACCAGGGGGGACTGGGTGGCCAGGTATGGGCACCGGGGTTGGTCTAGGGTGGGACAGGGGTCTCTAATCTAATAGCCTGAGAGGGCTTCAGAGGGAGGGGTTTCTTTTGGGGGGTGGGAATGGAGTCATCTTTTGTTCCAGAAGCCCAGGGGAAGGAGTTGAGGAATAGATCTCCTTGGTGCACATCTGATAGATCCTGGCAAGAACAAACTGGACAAATATAGACGCACACAGGCCCACTCAGCCATCCATATAGACCTCCCTGTGGAAACCTCAGCCTCTCCTGAGCCCTGTCCCTAGTCTAATCCTGCCACCTCTCCTTTCAGACCTCCTCAGCTCTCATAGTCTTGGTACCTTGCACCTTGAATCACATTTATAGATGTTTCTTTAAGGGATCAGTAACCCAATTCTAGCGAGGCTCTTCCCCACTTCCCAGATCTACCTGGGCTTACATTACCCTCATGTGATCTAGCACTTAAGGCTCATGGCCAAGGGCCCAAGTGTATTCTCTCTGTTTCATAATGTTCCCACACCACTTACAAAGCTGTCTGCTTCCCTGGAGGCTCTGTGGCTTTAGATACAGCTACTTGAAGTTCAGTTGCCTTTAGTTTACTGAGACTGTGAGTCTGCCATGGTGCGGAGTGACTGAGGTTTTGAGAGCCTAATACCTGGGGCTTTTGAGTACCAGGCTGAGGAGGGTAGGCATGTAGAAAGGCTCTAGGAGCCTGTGGAAGTTCTAGGCAGGTGAGATAGGACAGAATTGGTATTTTAGGGTCTCCTGGGTTCATTGTGAGATGGCAGGCTGAAAGAAGAGAGATTGGGGAGTGGAAGTAGGAATCAGAGGCCCTAAAAGGATATTTGTCCATTTTTGGGGGGATGTGATGTGAAAAGTGGAGACAGCTGTTGTAGAGGTGGGTAGTTCAGAGCCCTGGTTTATACAGACCCTGGAAAACGCAGACAGAGATAGGAATAGGAACCAGCAATCTGGCAAGTGGTCCCGGTTCCATACATACAGATCCCATGGTTTGACCATGGGAGAGAGACCAGGCTGTGATAGGTATTCGTGGCCAAAATGGAAGGAAACAAAGAAAGAGCTCAGAGCTAAATACATTCTAAAAGCCTAATTGGATTCTCAGACTTGGCAGGACATTGATTTTTATTTTATAAACACACGGCAAAAGCACGTGGGCGGGTGTTATGTAGTTCCTGAGCGAGGTAAAAAGTAAGAATCCTGGTGTCTGTCTCTAGACTTGGATGTCTGTGAAATCCAGGAGTGCGACGCACTCTGAAAGGCTAGGATCTAAAGGTAAAGCAAGGACTCAGATTGAACAGCTTGTCTTTGTAGACCTTCTAGACAGTGTGGAGTATCTGGGTAAGGTAAGGATGGTATCAGGGAAGGGCACTAACAGGAAACCACGGTGCTTTGTGTGGGGCAGGGGGGGGGAAGAATCCCAGAGGACAATGAGTTTGACTGGAGTGTTGAGGGAGCTAGGGGCGAAGCCCAGAGCGCCTGTCAGCCAGTTTGGCAGGGCACTAGAGAAAGAGGATGGGCAGGCAGCTAAGTAACATGCCACCTTAGACATGAGCAAGGCAGGAAGTAGAAGAAAAGCCCCTGAGCCTACACCAACTGACATACAGTCAGTGTGTCTCCACCCAGGATTCTATCCTTGAAGAGCCTAGCGGACACACAATCTCCGATTACACTTTTCCTATTCACACTCTCCCCTGTCCTCAGCTGCTAGGTCTCACACGCAAAGCCAGGCCTGCCTACACACCTCAAAGCCCAGAAGGTAATCTGCCAACACCTGGTGCTCAGAACTCTGGCAAGGAGAAGCATTATAAAGTGATCGCAGACTTCCCCTCCAAGGCCAGTGGGTGGGAAGGGTAGGCTTTAGGACTGCCTGGTCAATTAGTTCCCCAGCTGTACAGAGCCTAGCTCCGGCTCCAACCCAGGCCTGAGTTCTTCTACCCCCAACGCCCCACCAAGTCACCCACATTTTAGGACTCAGTGCTGCCCACCCTTCCCTCTGTCTCAGGTGTCGGCGCTGCCACCCAACGGCCTGGCCCGCAAGGTGAAGCGGACACTGCCCAGCCCCCCTCCAGAGGAGGCTCACCTTCCCCTGGCTGGCCAGGCCCCCCCACCGCTGTATGCAGCCAGCCTGCTACAGCGAGGGCTGGCGGGACCCACCACTGTCCCTGCTACCAAGGCCAGCCTTCTCCGAGAGCTGGACCGGGACCTGCGCCTGGTGGAGCATGAGTCCACCAAGCTGCGCAAGAAGCAGGCGGAGCTGGATGAGGAAGAGAAGGAGATCGATGCCAAGCTCAAGTACCTAGAGCTGGGCATCACCCAGCGCAAAGAGTCTTTGGCCAAAGATCGGGGTGGCCGTGACTACCCACCTTTACGTGGCCTTAGTGAGCATCGGGACTACCTATCTGACAGCGAGCTCAACCAGCTGCGCCTCCAGGGCTGCCCTACGCCCACCGGTCAGTATGTGGACTTTGCTGCCACTGTCGCTGCACCTGTCACCCCATCCGGCCCCGCGGCCTTCCAGCAGAGCCGCTTCCCACCTCCGACCCCCCAGTACACCGCCCCAGGTGGCAGTAGGCCCGCTCAGAATGGGTTTCCAGCCCACCAGACCCCCACTTACTCTGGCACTAGCCCGTACCCAGCACCTGCCTTCCCTCCTGGCACTGGTTACTCAGCTGAGCCAAGCCTGCCAACTCAGCAGGCCTTCCGCCCCACAGGCCACTACGCCACCCCAACACCCATGCCAACCACACAGAGCCCTGGCTTCCCAGTCGCCACCGCTGCTGCCACTGACAGCCGGGTCCCTCACCAGAAGCCACGTCAGACATCACTAGCTGATTTGGAGCAGAAAGCCCCCACCAACTATGAGGTGACTATGGTGACCATGTCTTCAGCCTCCTCTGAAATGGGCTACGGGGTGCCAGCAGTGAGCAGCAGCGGCTATGAGCAGAGCAAAGCCGCTGAACTTCCCCGGGCCAGTGTGAGCCAGAGCCCAGCCCCCACCTACCCCTCTGACTCCCATTACACCAATCTGGAGCAGAATGTTCCTCGAAATTATGTGATGATCGATGACATCAGCGAACTCACCAAGGACAGCACCCCCACTGGCCCTGATAGCCAGCGGCTGGAGCCTTTGGGACCAGGCGGTGCTGGGCGCCCTGGGAAGGAGCCTGGAGGAGAACCAAGTGTCCTTGAGGGGCCCACATTGCCCTGCTGCTATGGGAGAGGGGAGGAGGAGTCTGAGGAGGACTCGTATGACCCCCGGGGGAAGGTTGCACATCACCGGAGCATGGAGAGCAATGGCCGATCCACCAGCACCCACTACTACGGCGACAGTGACTACAGGCCTGGAGCTCGAGCCGAGAAGTATGGTCCAGGGTCTGTGGGGCCTAAACATCCCTCCAAGAGCCTGGCCCCAGCTGCTGTGTCTTCAAAGCGGAGCAAGCACCGGAAGCAGGGCATGGAGCAAAAGATCTCTAAGTTCTCGCCCATCGAAGAGGCCAAGGATGTGGAGTCAGACCTGGCTTCTTATCTTTCACCTGCCGTCAGCAGCAGCCTGGCCTCTCGCGGCAGGAAGTTCCAGGAGGAGATCACCTACGGGCTCAAGAAGAATGTGTATGAGCAGCAGAGGTATTACGGGGCGTCCAGCCGGGATGCAGCCGAGGAAGATGACCGCATGTACAGTGGAAGTAGCCGATCCCAGATGGCCTCTGCCTACAGTGGGGAGAAGCTCTCCAGCCATGATTTCCGAGGCCGAAGCAAGGGATACGAAAGGGAACGCGAGACGGCGGAGCGACTTCAAAAGGCAGGTCCCAAGCCCTCTTCCCTAAGCATGGCCCATGGCCGGGCACGGCCCCCCATGAGAAGCCAGGCCTCTGAAGAAGAGAGTCCTGTCAGCCCCTTGGGGCGGCCACGTCCTGCTGGGGGTACCCTCCCTCCTGGGGATACCTGTCCACAGTTCTGCTCCAGCCACTCTATGCCCGATGTCCAGGAACACGTTAAGGATGGACCACGGAGCCATGCCTATAAACGTGAGGAGGGCTACATCCTGGACGATTCCCACTGCGTGGTTTCTGACAGCGAAGGTAATGGCGGCTCAGGGTGATTACCGCAGATTCTCAGCAACAGGGGGGACCTTGCCTGTGCATAGAGGGCCTTGAGCGCCCCCCCCCCAAAGATGTCCCACAAGGGTCTGGCTTGGTCATCCTATCAATGGGCCCTGAGGCCCTTGTCTGTTCCATCTGTTCCTGGGGTTTTCTGGTTATGGGAGGTGGGGCTGGAGACCTAGTGATCTGCTTGTGGCTTAATTACCTACTGTCTGGTTTCCTTGCATGGCTTCAGCTAGGCCGCCCCCCGACAGGCAGCTCAGGGGTTGATGGTGTTCTGTTTTTGGTCTCTGAAGCGTATCACCTAGGCCAGGAGGAGACAGACTGGTTTGATAAGCCCCGGGATGCCCGCTCTGAACGATTCAGGCACCATGGGGGCCACCCAGTCTCCTCCTCCCAGAAGCGAGGCCCTGCCAGGCACAGCTACCATGACTACGATGAACCCCCTGAGGAAGGCCTGTGGCCCCATGATGAGGGTGGCCCAGGCCGCCATGCCTCAGCCAAAGAACATCGGCATCACGGCGACCACGGGAGACACTCAGGCCGCCATGCTGGTGAGGAGCCTGGACGGCGGGCTGCCAAACCACACGCTCGCGACTTGGGTCGCCACGAAGTCCGGCCTCACCCTCAGCCAAGCTCTGCCCCAGCCATGCCGAAGAAGGGTCAGCCTGGGTACCCCAGCTCTGCGGAATACTCCCAGTCCTCCCGTGCTCCATCCACCTACCATCATGCCTCTGACAGCAAGAAGGGCTCCCGGCAGGCTCACGCTGGGCCTGCTGCACCACAGCCAAAACCAGAACCCCAAGCACAGCCACAGCTGCAGGGTCGGCAGCCAGCTCCAGGGTCACAACAATCCCAGCTGCCACCATCTAGGCAGATGCCCTCAGGTGCAGCATCACGACAGTTGCAGCAGCAGCAGCAGCAGCAGCAAGCTCTCGGGCAGCCACCTCCTTCCCAGCAGGCCCCACCACAGGCTCGATCACAGCAGCAGAGCCAGCCAACCACCAGGGCCTCCGCTCCTGCGGCCAGTCAGCCAATAGGGAAGCCCCAACAGCCAGGTCCCACAGCAACCCCAGGCCCCCAGCCAGCTGGACCGGTAAGTAATGTATGGGAGGGGCCCAGCCAGGGAAGAGGCGACTCAAGCTTCCACACCAGGCTTGGTCCCCAAGCAGGGTGTTGGCAGGGTGGATGGGCAGGCTCTCAGCTCTAGGTTCTATGTTACAGCCACGAGCAGAACAGGCAAACGGCCTCAAAGGGACAGCCAAAGGAGCCCAACAGGGGAGGGCTCCTCAGGCCCAGCCAACACCAGGACCTGGAGCTGCAGGTAAGCCTATAATATACTCTCAGATGATACCCAGACTGCTCTCTTCCTGTACCCATAGAAGCGGGATACCCTCCTTTGCGTGCCCTTACTAATGCCCAAGAAGGTACCCAGTGGTATCACAAGGAGATCTCCTCATCCTATTAATATACATGAATAAAAATACAATTTGAGAGAGACAGACAGGCAGAGATTGGCAGACAGAGGCTGCCAATCTCCCAGAAGAAAATGAGGTTAGAATGAGCCAATGGGGTCATCAAAACTGGGACCTGAGAGCTCAAGGAGTCCTGGGCAGAGAACCTAGAAAATGCTGGTAAGTAGAAGGCCAATCATGGCGATATACACTCACTCTTCTCTTTCCCTCTTCTCTGCCTTCTTACTCCCCTCTGCCTTTTCATCATCCATTTGTCTTTCTTCCATTTCCTTTTTCCCCTGCTTCCTCACACCCCCTTCTCTCTCTTTTCCTTCCTTCCTTCTTCCGTCCTTCCTTCCTTCTTCCGTCCTTCCTTTCTTCCTTCCTTCCTTTCTTTCTTTCTTTCTTTCTTTCTCTTGTTGGTCATGGGGCCTGAACTCTGGGCCTTGGCGCTGTCCCTCATCTCTTCAGCTCAAGGCACGCACTCTCCCACTTGAGCCACAGAGCCACTTCTGGGTTTTTCTGCTTATCTGGTGCTGAGGAATCGAACCCAGAGCCTCATGCATGCAAGGCAAGCATTCTACCACTGAGCTACCTTTGCAGCCCCATCTCTTTCTAGTCTTCTGTCTATTCCTGTAGCGTTCCCATGCTTCCACCTCATGGGGTACCTGTGTTCAGGTCCCCTTATGGCTACCCTTTCCCCCATACCCTGAAGTAGCTGGACAAGTCATGGCTGATGATGGTGGTATTCTCTCTCCCGCCCATAGGCATGAAGGCTGGAGCCAGGCCTGGAGGGACCCCAGGGGCTCCTGCTGGCCAGCCAGGTGCTGATGGGGAAAGTGTGTTGTCCAAGATCCTCCCTGGTGGGGCAGCCGAGCAAGCCGGCAAGCTGACTGAAGGTAAGCCCTACGTGAAGCCGGAGCCATCATCCTGGGTGGCTGATCCTAGGGCTCTATTCTGATGGAGCTTGAGTGTGTAAGATGATTTCAGGCCCAGCTACCTAGGCACAGGTCAGCCAGAGAACCTATCTGTATGACCCAGTAGAGTTGTGGGCAGTCCCTGCCCTACCTGGCTGAGTTTGGCTTCACTGGGCCCAGTAGCTGACAAGGATGGGTCTGGTCCAGTTTCCTGATCTCTCTCTCTCTCTTCCTCTTTTATGTCACAGCTGTCTCTGCTTTTGGCAAAAAATTTTCCTCATTTTGGTGACCGTGCCCAGCAGGGTGAGTATGAGTGGCCTGTACCTGGTTTTCCTTACATAAAGTTACTAGAAGGGGGAATCTCTAAGTCTCAAGGGTGGCTTCTCTGAAAAGAATCTAGACGGGCTGGGAAGGTGGCTCAGTGGTAGAGCGCTTGCCTTGCATGCCTGAGGCCCTGGGTTCGATTCCTCAGCACCACAGAAGCAAAAAGAAAAAAGCCGGAAGTGGCTGTGTGGCTCAAGTGGTAGAGCGCTAGTCTTGAGCTGAAGAGCTGAGGGACAGCACCCAGGCCCAGAGTTCAGGCCCCACGACTGGACTAAAAAAAAAAAAAAGAATCTAGACGGGCTGGGAAGGTGGCTCAGTGGTAGAGTGCTTGCCTTGCATGCACAAGGCCCTGGATCAATACCTCAGCACCACAGAAGCAGAAAAAGCCGGAAGTGGCACTGTGACTCAAATGGTAGAGTGCTAACCTTGAGCTGAAATGCTAAGGTACAGCACCCAAGCCCAGAGTTCAGGCCCCATGACCTATTTAAAAAAAAAAAGACTCTAGACTCTGAAACATTAATGTGGCAATGTGATTTAACTGATCATATGGTTATTTTGCTTATTTTATTCACTGGCTGACTTCACTCCATGTGTGTTTTCAGATAATGACTAGATGTAATTATGAAGGATGTATATAAACTCCAGGGATTGAATTTTGATTCAAGTGCTTGATGTAAAATATATCATAAAAATAAACATACTTTAAAATTTTTTAAAGAATCTATCCAGGGACCAGTGGCTCATGCCTGTCATCCTAGCTACTCAGGAGGCTGAGATCTAAGGATCACAGTTCAAAGGCAGCCCAAGTCAGTCAGAAAGTCTATGAGACATTTATCTCCAATAAACCACTCAGAAAGCCGGAAGTGATGTGATGGCTCAAGTGGTAGAGTGCTTGCCTTGAGTTGAAGAGCTCAGGAACTGTGTCCAGGCCCAGAGTTCAAGCTGCACGACCAGCAAAAAAAGAAAAAAAAAGAACCTAGTCTTTAGTGGCATGAACTAGAACTATATATAATGTGCTTTTCTCATATAATGAGAATATGGAAAGAAAAATGAAGCCAGCTTAGTAGAAGTCCCCAAGAAACAAGATCAATGTCCTTTGTCTGTCTTTTTTTCTTTCTTCCTTCCTTTCTTTCTTTCTTTCTTTCAGTTGTGGGGCTTGAACTCTAGGCCTGGGTGCTGTCCTTCAGCTCTTCAGCTCAAGGCTAGCACTCTACCACTTGAACCACAGCACTACTTCAGGTTTTCTGGTGATTTATTGGGGGTAAGAGCCTCACGGACTTACTTGCCCAGGTTGGCCTTGAACCATGATCCTTAGATCTCAGCCTTCTGAGTAGCTAGGATGACAGGCATGAGCCACCGGCACTTGGCTCTGCTCTTTTCTTTTCTTTTCTTCCTTTTCTTTATTCTTTTCTTGTGGGTCATGGTGCTTGAACTCAGGGCCTGGATACTGTCCTTGAGCTTTTTTGTTCTACCACTTTTAGCCACAGTGCCACTTCCAGTTTTCTAGTGGTTAATTGGAGGTGAGAGTCTTACAGACTTTCCTGCCAGGGCTGACTTTGAATTGTGATCCTCAGACCTCAGCCTCCTGAGTAGCTAGGATTATAAGCATGAGCCACTGGTGCCTGGATCTTTGTCTTTCTATCTCCTTATTTTATTTATTATTAATTATTATTTTTTTTTTTTTTTTGCCAGTCGTGGGGCTTGAACTCTGGGCCTGGGCGCTGTCTCTGTGCTCTTCAGCTCAAGGCAAGCGCTCTACCAATGGAGCCACAGCGCCATTTCCAGTTTTCTGGTGGTTAATTGGAGATAAGAGTCTCACAGATTTTCCTGCCCAGGCTGGCTTTGAACTGCGATCCTCAGATCTCAGCCTCCTGCGTAGCTAGGATGACAGGTGTGAGCCACCGGTGCCAGTATCTATCTCTTATCTCCTTGAAGTGCTCTCATAACTGTGGGCTGACTTCAGTTATACATAGGGCTCTCTGGCACAACTCCTTCCCAATGCTCTTTTGTAACTGCTCCATAGGTTCTTAAAGACATAAAGAAAGATATCATTGCTGTGGAAAAATCTCTGGAGTCAAAGGCCTGGGCACAGCTCTGGACTCTGCGTATAACAGTGAGTGTTGACCAAAGTGGAATGATGGAACAGAGTAGGGTGCAGAGGGTCAAGGCCTGAGTGAATGAGCCAGCCTCTACAAAGGACCTGATTGGCTTCTTCAGGTGGGATGGGCCAACAGCCCCTTGGGAAACAGGCCAATCAGCTGTCTGAGATGGTGGCAAGTAAGTTAGCTGGTACCCTGAGGGAAAGAGGCCTCTGGTGAAGCCAATTGTGACATACATCTGAAGGTATGTATGCTAGGCACTGAGTCCAAAATTATTTTGGATAATGGGGAGGCCATGGCAGTTCCCTGACATCTGGTACTGATGCCCTTTGCCAGAGTCCCCAAACTCCGCAGAGCTTAGAAATTTTGGTCATACGGTCAATGGAATGAGGCAAACAGAAAGAAGACATAGAGAAAAAAGGGGGTCACTGGCCAAGCAGTCTTAGTCCCAGACTAGGTCAACCTATAGAAGAGCAAGGGTTCTAGTTCTGTCTGGACTGCTGAGATCTGAGAATCATGGTTCAAAGCCAGCCTGGGCAAGAAAGTCCGTGAGAGTCTTATCTCCAGTGAACCACTAGAAAACCAGAAGTGGCGCTGTGGCTCAAGTGGTAGAGTGCTAGCCTTGAGCTGAAGAGCTCAGGGACAGCGTCCAGGCCCAGAGTTCAAGCCCCACGACCAACAAAAAAAAAAAAAGAAAGAGAGAGAGAGAGAAAGAAATATGAAAACATATGTGTACTATCCCATGGCAGGCCTCAATAATTACCAGATCATTTCAAATAAGCCTGGTCAAAAAAATAAAGAAAAAGAAAAAGAACCCATCCTCAGGGTTAAAAGCATGGCTCCACTAGTAGTATTTACCAGTGATTGAAAGTGTTAGGCACTAAGTTCAAGTCCTAGTCTTGGACCTAAAATAAAAGAAAGTAAAAACGATAAGCAAGCCTGGTCAACACAGTGAGATCCTGTCTCAAAAGAAAACAAAACAAAAAGCCCGTATCTGTGGCTCAGCCCAGGTAGAAAAGTCCCAGTGAGACTCTTATTTCCAATGAACAATGAACCACTCAAAAACCGAAAGTGGAGCTGTGGCTCAAAGCGGTAGAGCACTAGCCTTGAGTGAAAGAGCTCAGGGACAGTGCCCAGGACCTGAGTTCAAGTCCCACCACCGACAAAAAAAAAAAAGGAAGTTATGTCTCTTCCTGGCAGATTTGGTTCTTTTCTACCTGTCCTTTTCCAATCTGTCAAGCACCTGTCTCTCCAGGCCTCTGAGTCCTTTGGAACAAGAAGTATGATCAATATCTGAGAGGAACGTGAGGGAGGGAAGCAGGTACCCAGGAATCTTGACAAAAACCTTTTTTTTCTTCTTCTTCTCTCCCTCCATCCCTTTCTCCCTGCTTCCTCTTCCCACCTCCCTCCCCCTCTCCCCACCCCCTTTTAAAAAAATCTTTCCCAAGCATCTACAATCTAGCAAACCTTTGGCCCAAAGACTCACAGCCAGGTGGGCTACAGCGGACCAGGTCTCAAAGTTGAGGACAGGATGTGTTCTAAACAGCAGCTGCCCGGGTGAAGTATCTGCTGGACAAATGAGACCATTGCCCACCCACCTCCAAGAGGGGGGGGGGGAACCTTTGATTGTCTTTCCAGAGAAGTCTGCCGTCTGCTGCTCTTTACACAGCTGCCTCTCTGCGGTCTTGGCCAACGCTTCCAATGCGTTATACACAGAGTTTGGGCAAACCAACAGCCCTCCCTCCGAGATGCCAGACGTTTTTCCACAGCCTTGGAGAGGAGCTTTGAACTGAGGGCTGAGGGGCAGGGGGGTGGGGGGGGAGGGGAAGGGGAAGGGGCATGGCCCTCCCCTCGCGCCCCCCCCCACTCCCCTCCAGCCTGGGCTCCTGTTTCCTTCACATTCCAGCTGGCCCAAATCCTTCTGTAGCCACAGGGCCCTGCCCCTCTCTGCCCACCCCCCCCCTCACCCTTTGCCCTCTGGGTGAACATTGGAGGAGATCTCCATGTGGCCAGCCTGGGGTTGGGAGAACTTTACAAACATTTAGGACCTACCACTGTCTCATCGCTGAACCAATAAGAGGCCATAGCACCGACAAAGCAGCGTGGGCGCCGGCTGAGATGTCTCCCAGCCCATGGATGGCAGCGTGTTAGGCACGCTAGCTATCACCTTAAAGCCATCCTCCCCCCTCCTCCCCCCCCACTTCACCCCCACCCCCACCCCCAGCCATCATTATTTCAACCAGCCGGCTCCTCATCTGTCCAACCTGGGGATTTCCTTTGATTTCAAGAATAGCCTTAATCATTCCAGTTTGATTTACGTGTATACCTCATAAACATATTTCTCTCCCCCCCTTTTTTCTCCCTCTCTCTCTCTCTCTCTTTTATTTTGTTTGTTCATCCCTTGCCTCTCCCCTCGTGACTGATGGCTTGGTTTCCTCTCTGCTCTGCCCCTGATCAGCACAGGGAGAATGTTGACTTAGAAGCAATAGGGGGCAGTTGGCCACCAAGAGCACAACCCCAGAGCCAGGTCTAGGGAAGCCTCTCAGCCCGCTTCTGTTTACTGTGCAATTCTAGTCCTTCTTAAGCCATCACCAGTGGGTATGCTCAGAGCAGAGGGGTCAAAACTCCTGCCAGCCGAGGTCAAGGCCCAGAGCCCTGTATAGAGGAGTATGCTATTGTCTAACCACCTGATGGACAGGACAATAGTTCTCCCCCCAAAAAATCCTTCCCTTGGCTCTGACACAACCACAAGTCTCATCTCTGATGTTCTATGCAATGAACTATAAAAAAAAAAAACCCTCAAAGACAACTGTTAATAGTTAATCAATTCCGTGTTACGTATAAGGAATTAATTGCACATGTGCAATTGAGAAACTGAATAGATATGCTCATATCACACACCACCCTCACCCTGGCCCCTGCTCCCCCTGTGTGTGTGTGTGTGTGTGTGTGTGTATGCGTGTGTGTGCGCGTGTGACCTTCTCAGTCTGTGGCATGTTTGACCTGTGGCAGGACTCGCTGCTGTCAGGTGAGTCACCGCCTGCCCTGCAGCGGAGCATGCGCAGCTCGCAGCCTCTTTGCACGATTTCATCCATTTTTTAAATGCTTTGACCCTCTTGCTTGGAGTTCTTTTTGCCTCCGAACCTCTTTTCCTTTAGGAGCACTTGTGGCTGTCTTCTGCATATGCTAGTCCAGGACCTGCCAGAGTTGTTGTCTGAGTGTACCAGACTGGAGGACAAGAGATTTGAGGTCCCACACGGCCTGACATTTTCTCTACCAGGATCACAGGCTTTTCTTTTTTTTTAAAGAAAGAAAGAAAACCCCAGAGTAGATAGAACTGTAGGAGCCTACACAAGATATAAGTGTATGAATGTTATCCAAGTTCGATATAGGATTTCTATATGTATGTTGTTTTCCTACCCAGTCTGAAGCTAGAGAAATCTGGCTGCCCCTTCCCAATAGGGCACCTGTCAAGGACAGAGATGGGCTGTGACCATCATCAGAGACTAAGGACAAGACCCAGAGAGCCTAGCTGTGCTCTAGGGCCCCTAGGTCCTGACTGAACCTATTCCATGCTTCTCCTTTGAAGTTCAAAGGACTGGTGGCGGGGAGATCGAGTCAGAGCCACCGCAGGATCTGATCTTTAGCTGAAAAAAAAAAATGTCTTCTGGAGCAGATGCACTGTTCACCTAAAGAATGGGTTCAAACAACTTCTTGGGAAGCTTCTGGCGAGTAAAACATCTAGAAGGCTCTATGTGTCTTTCTCCCCAATTGCCCTTGGCATACCTAACATTCCTGTTCTACCCTCTTCTCAGAAACCCAAATATTCCATTGTTGTCATTCCCACCCCACCCCCCCCCGCCCCAACTGAGCCAGCAATGGGGCAGGCAGTAGGTGTCTGATCCCCCTTGAGGCTTGATTTTTTTCCCCCTAGTGTGCTTTAGTTTGCACCATGCATTTTTCTCAGGGGTCTACATTTCTCATGCTTCTCTGTAAGGCCTCCATATCTCCTTAGAGGGGAGGGGGGGGGTGTCTTGGCCTACTTCTGGCACAGTCTGCTGCCTCCTATGTTGTATCTAATCCTAATGGCTGCCTTCCCCATGCCAAGGAACAATTACCTCATCCCAGAGATCAGGCCTGAGCTGTGAGACCATTCAAGAATGGCTAGCATGGACCAGGTTCCTATGGGATAGGCCTAGTGGCTGGATACTTAAAGAGACCAAGACCAAGAAGATGGCAGCAGGCCATCCTCTAGCTCCGGCTTTTCAACAAATCCCCTTGTTCACCAAACACTCTTGAGTTTGACATTTCGGACACGTGCCACTCCTGATCTAACCCATCCATACCCACAGGACACCCCCAAATTGGCATTCTGAGGAAGGCTGCAGTAAGTCTCTGGGTCTTGGGTATTCTAGGCCTTGTGTGGCTATCGCTACAACTCTGGTGACTAAGGAACCAGCAGAGAGGAATAGGCAAATCTCCCAATGGGTAAGAAGTCTCTGGGGGTATAGTCCAGGCTTTCCCCAGGACTCCTCTTCCCAAGAAGAGGGCTTAGTGAATCATTTCCTGGAGCTAGACCTCCTCCTCCACCACTGTCTTAGTCCCTTGGCGAGAATAGGTGGCAGTTCCAGGACCCATAAGGAAAGATCAGCAGAGGCAGCAACTCTGGCTTATTTCTGGAGGCTGTAGGGAATTTCTAGGCAGGTCTTTCGCCATGCCAGTGCAGTCTTTCCTATTGGTCCCCTTCCCTTGCTCCTTTACCCTACTCATGCTGTAAATACTTATGGTCATGGACTCCAACAAGGTTAGAGGGATAGGCCTAATCAAATGAAACCCCTTGGAGATGCCATCTCCGTCTCTCCCTGGGTGCCAGCATCCTGCTGCTCTGTGCATTGGAGATGGCACAGGTGAGCCATGGAAGTGGTGAAATATTGTGTGTACACATGTGAACGCCCGTGCGTGCGTGCGTGCGTGTGTGTGTGTGTGTGTGTGTGTGTGTGTGCGCGTGCCTCATTCAGCCTCTGGGGTCAAAACAGCTTCTTCTCTCCAAATTCAGTACCCTGGAGAGTGGTGATCACTCCAATAACTTTTCCTCTAGCTTCCATGTCTTGTTTTTGCTTCTCCCTTCCCACCTCTCTCCCTTCCCTTTCTTCTTTCCTTCTCTCCTTTATCCGAGGGAGGGAAGAGTGCTGTACAAAGTCAAACAAACAAGTTTACAGTTGTAAGTGCAATGACCCGAGTCCTCCACATGACCTTGTGAACACCGTGCCGTCCTCCTGTGCTCTATGAGAACTCGTGGTACTTCTGTGTCCCTTCCCCCTTGTATTGTGACAAGGTATTTCTGTGGTATCCGAATAAAAAGGACTTGATATAAACAATCTGCAGACTTGTCTCTGGGTTGGTTTCTATGGCCAAAGGAGTAAATCCCCAAATGTGTGATCAGTGTACCCTTCCCTGTCAAATGGGCACAATTAAGAAAGGGCAAAGCTTCACGAGTGCTGGCCTGAATGGGACTGAGTTCATCCCAGGGAACTCAAAAAATAATGGGTCCTCCACAAACCTGCTTGAGGGTGGGTTCAAATAGGAGTTTCAACCTGAAGCAAGCAGTTTACTGCGCAGATTCTTGAGATATAATGGCTTCCCATGCTGTGCAGACAGCTTTCTTAGGCCAGGTTCCTGGGAGACCGGTGTGAAGGTCTGGCCAGGCCTAGGTACACATAGGGGACTGGGCTGTTTTCCTGGCTCTCCTGCTTTCCATTGCCACCTGTGCCATGTGCATTGAGAGCCTTCCTTCCTAGCTTCTTTTTTCCACAGGAAGCTCTCTGATCCTGAATGGAAGCCCTTTGCTCCAGGGGAAGATGGCTTAGGGCATAGTCCACTCATGAGTGGATTCCCTAGCTAGGTGCCACTGAAAAGGGTGGGTAAAGGCTGCAGGGACAGATAGCCCTAGGAGCAGGATTGGTGACTGATAAGCAGAGGCAGCTAGACCCTGAGAGCTCAATATCTGATCCACAAGTCTGCTCTGTATGTTTCTCTGGGACCTGCCCCATTCCCCTCCCAGGCCAAAAGATGGGCCTGGCACCATCTGGTGAATGTTTTATCGCAAAGTGGGTGGGAACCTCACAATCATCCCCAGAGCTCAGAGAAAACCACACATGGACAGGCTCTGGCTTCTGTAGAGTCCTGCATCCTTAAGGCTTTCATTGAGCCTCAGGATCACCGTTTTCAGCTCCTGTCCTTCCCCTTCAAGGATCATTTGGTCTGTGTTCCTCTTGGGCCCTTCAAACATTCTAGAGACCTGGATGCTAATCTCGCTGTCCTGTTCAGACTCAAGCCCCACCTACCTTGCTCCTTCACGGCTCTCCCCTTGTCCTCTACACTCCTGTATTCAATGGCCTGACAGCTTCTCTCCTCCATGATCTCTCTTGCCTCCACTGAAATAAAAGGCTGGGGTGTGTGTGTGTGTGCTCAATAAACTCCCAGACTTCCCACTTGTCCAGCCTGACCTCTAAAAAGCCATAAGCAGCTAGGCACTGCTGGTGGCTCACTCTTGTATCTTAGCTACTCAGGAATCTGAGATCTGAGGGTTGTGGTTCAAAGCTAGCCAGGGGGCGCCTCCAATAAACCACCAGAAAGCCACAAGTGGAGCTGTGGCTCAAAGTGGTAGAGTGCTAATAACCTTGAGGAAAAAAAAAAAAAAGAGCTCAGGGACCAGTGCCCAGGCCCTGAGTTCAAACACCACAATCGACAAAAACAGATACATAAAATAAAATAAATAAATTGGGGTGGTGGTGGAGAGGAGCTGGGAAGGTGGCTCAGTGGTAGAGCGCTTGCCTCGCATGCAGGAGGCCCTGGGTTCGATTCCTCAGCCACCACATAAGCAGAAAAAGCCAGAAGTGGGTGCTGTGGTTCAAGGGGTAAGAGGGCTAGCCTTGAGCTGAAGAGCTGAGGGAAAGTACCCAGGCCCAGATAGATAGATAGATAGATACATAGATAGATAGATAGATAGATGGAGGGATGGAAGGATGGATAGAAGGATGGATGGATAGATAGATAGACAGACAGACAGATAGAAGGTGGATGGATGGATAGATAGATAGATGGATAGATGGATAGAAGGTGGATGGATGGATGGATAGACAGACAGATGGATGGATGGATAGATAGACAGACAGACAGATAGACAAGTAGATAGATAGATAGATAGATAGATAGATAGATAGATAGATAGATAGATAGATAGATAGATAGATAGATAGATAGATTTGGAAGTGGTGCTGTGGCTCAAATGATAGAGTGTTAGCCTTGAGCACAGAATGACACACAGCCCAGGACCTGAGTTCAAGCCTTGGGACCTACAAAATTAATTAATCCATCAATTAATTTAAAAAAAGAGACATAGGCCTTCTTTTTTTCTCCAGATCCTGTTCCCCCTCCCCTCCCCCCGCCCCTCCCCCTCCCCCTTCCTTTCCCCTTCCTCCTCCCCCTCCCCCCTCCCCGCCCTCCAGGGCCTCCTCCCCCGGGGCCTCCCAGGCCCCGCCCCTCTCCCGGGCGCCTGCGGGCTCTAGCGGAAACGGGGCGGGGTCGTCGCCGGCTCCGCCCCTCCCCTCCCGAAGCCTCACTTCCGGGGTCTTAAGCACTCGGGCTCCCGAGATTCCGGAGACTTCATGGAGCGTCAGGTGAGGGCTCGGCCCGCGGCGGCCGCGGCGGTCCGTGCAAGCCGGGCCGAGTCTGATCCTGGTGTGTCCCCTGCGCAGGTGCTGCTGGGCGAGCCCGAGGAGGCGGCGGCGCTGTACCGGGCCCTCAGTCGCCAGCCCGCGCTGAGCGCCGCCTGCCTGGGCCCGGAGGTCACCACGCAGTACGGGGGCCGCTATCGGACCGTGCACACGGGTGTGTGTGTGGGCCGGAGGAGGGAAGGGGCGGGGGGGGGACTTCACTGCTGGACTGTGCAGACGAAATGTGTGGAGGAAACTGAGGCTTGGAGGACATCCCCTCCTCTCCCCCCGACCCCTTTCCCTGCACACAGGTAGCTATGCTAGTGAGTGTCCAAGGTGAGTGTCCAAAAGTGCATGGAGTGTGGAGGATCAGAGGGCTGGGAAGGTGGCCCAGGGGGAGAGTGCTCGCCTAGCGTGCGTGAAGCCCTGGGTTCCATTCCTCAGTACCACATCCACAGAAAAAAAACCAGAAGTGGCGCTGTGGCTCAAGTGGTAGAGTGCTAGCCTTGAACCAAAGAAGCTCAGGGACAGCGCCCAGGCCCTGAGTTCAAGCCCCCCCCCCAGCGACCCCCTCCCCACACCACCAAGCATACATCTTGTGCCCAAGTCTACATTCTTCTCTGATACTTTTTTTGGCCAGTCCAGGGGCTTAAACTCAGGGCCTGGGCACTGTCCCTGATTTGTATTTTGTTTTTTTGGTTTTTGCTCAAAGCTAGCACTCTACCACTTGAGCCACAGGCTCCATTTCCAGCTTTTTGGTGGTTCATTGGAATAAGGGTTTCATGGATTTTCCTGCCCTGGCTGGCTCTGAATGACGATCCTCAGATCTCAACTAGGATTTCTGACATGAGCCACTGGCACCCGGCTAGGTGTTATGCTTTGTAGGGTTTCTCTCCTGCCACTCTATTCCATACACATGGCAGGCTGCTCTTAAGATCCCAGAGTAGACGCAATGAGTTCTATGCAAGCAACTGTCAGTGGAGACACTGAAGGCCTGGATTTGGCCAAGTGTTGTCCAGCTTTCCTTCAGGTTGTCCAGAGGCTGATTGAGAGAGGTGGATCCGGGCCTTCTTGGGTGAAAAGGGTAGTGGTCCTTCCTGGCCAGGACAAGTTGAGCAGCCTCATGCTTTTCCTTGCAGAATGGACCCAGAGGGACCTGGAACGAATGGAGAATATCCGATTCTGCCGCCAGTACCTGGTGTTTCATGATGGAGATTCAGTGGTGTTTGCAGGGCCTGCGGGCAACAGTGTGGAGACTCGGGGGGAGTAAGTTTGAGGGAGGAAGCTTATGAGCAAGCTATCTACCATGCCAACCTTTTACGAATACCCACAGACACTTAGGTGTGGGTAGGGCCCAGAGGGAGGCCTGGCACCAAGTGTTTGATCCCTTGGGTGCTCATTTGGTCTCCATTAACATGATCTGATAAGCACTGGAGTCTTATTCCAAACTTAGGCCCAGCTTTGAGCCTATAGAGTCCTGGGAATCTGAAGAGAGTAGAATAGAAGCTGAGGGAGAGAGGCAAGGCAATTCTAAGGTTAGGGGTACTATAAGGACTGATACAGTATCCAAACCTCAAGAATCTTGTCTAGGAGGTTATGGCCAGGTTATGGGAACAGCACAGGACTATTTGGGAGTAGGAGACAATCCTGACCTGCTACTCCATATCTTCCTCAGAATGATGAGCAGAGAATCTCCATCAGGCACCATGAAAGCTGTGTTACGTAAGGCTGGAGGCACAGGCTCTGGGGAGGAGAAGCAGTTCCTGGAGGTGGGTCTGTGATAGGACAAGGGGGTGGGTGATAGAAGCACTCAGCCTCACTGATCAGAGCTCTCTTGAGGGGAGGGGGCATCCTGACACTCAGATTTCTTCAGGTTTGGGAGAAGAATCGGAAGCTTAAAAGCTTCAACCTATCAGCGCTGGAGAAGCATGGGCCTGTTTATGAGGATGGTGAGGCACTTGGTCGGTAATTCAGGCAGGGTGGACAGGAGGAGCACTCATTAACCCTGGACACTTCCCTGATCCACCCTCCCTGTACCCAGACTGCTTTGGCTGCCTATCCTGGTCGCACTCGGAGACACACTTGTTGTATGTGGCAGAGAAAAAGCGCCCCAAAGCCGAGTCCTTCTTTCAGACCAAAGCCTTGGACGTCAGTGCCAGCGATGATGACATAGCCAGGCCGAAGAAGCCAGACCAGACCATTAAGGTGCTTATAGTGTGGCCAGACTAGAAGGCGTTACCACATCCGGGGTTCTGTGTGTTTCTTTGCCACAGTACACCTGTCAGAATCGGGCACTGGCTTTTAGGAGGCCGGGCAGTACCTTGCAGACAGACATTGAGTTTCCTGTGTTTGCAGGGGGACCAGTTTGTGTTTTATGAAGATTGGGGAGAAAGCATGGTTTCTAAAAGCATCCCTGTGCTCTGCGTGTTGGATGTCGACAGCGGTAACATCTCGGTGCTTGAAGGGGTCCCTGAGAATGTATCCCCGGGACAGGTTAGCAGCCACTTGCCTTATGTCCCTCCTAAAGTCTGGGGTTTCCTTGCTGCACGACTGTCCCTTGGCTCCTATTTGCCCCTCTGCTCTTGTTTACAGGCTTTCTGGGCCCCGGGGGACACTGGTGTGGTGTTTGTGGGCTGGTGGCATGAGCCCTTCCGGTTAGGCATCCGCTTCTGCACCAATCGCAGGTAAGGAAAGTGGAATGAGCTTGGGGCCTGCGCAGTTCCTGTCATGAAGCTGAGTGTCTGTCTGCCCATTACAGGTCAGCACTGTACTACGTGGACCTCCTTGGTGGGAAATGTGGTAAGTGGCTACTGCCCATATGTTGCTTTGCTGGCACCTGTTCACCTTGCCAATGTGTGCGTGATTCTCACCTGTCTCTGTGTGGCTCAGAACTCCTCTCAGGTGACTCCTTGGCGGTTTCTTCTCCTCGGCTGAGCCCGGACCAGTGTCGCATCGTCTACCTGCAGTACCCCTCTCTGGTCCCTCATCATCAGTGTAGCCAGCTGTGCCTGGTAAGCTGGAGGTGGTGAGGAGAAGGGCATATGATCCCAGTAACCAGGTTGGCCTAGAGATTTAGTTCCTGTGCTCAAGTTTACAATTAAGATTTTGGTTTCGGGGCTGGGAAGGTGGCTCAGTGGTAGAGTGCTTGCCTTGCATGCATGAAGCCCTGGGTTCGATTCCTCAGTACCGCATCAACAGAAAAAGCTGGAAGTGGCTCTGTGGCTCAAGTGGTAGAGTGCTAGCCTTGAGCAAAAGAAACTCAGGGACAGCGCGCAGGCCCTGAGTTCAAACCCTAAGACTGGCAATAAAATAAAATAAAATAAATTGCTTTTTCCAGTGTCTACTTAAGGGGAGCTGACAGACAGAATGAGCCCTTTCTCCAGGGATGGGAAGAGGGTACCAACAGCGTGTCAGGTTCCTAGTAGCTAAATGAGAACTTAAGGACCAGGAGCTTCTTCCCATGGATCCTTAATGGCTATCCTCTTCTATGGAGTTATCGTAGTGCTGTGTTGCTGCTTGTTTTTTCAAGGCAGGAACTGGGAGACTAAGAGTGCTGACATGGATATGACAGCATCTATACCAATGCCTTCTGGGCTATATCCCACACCTGTGATCCTAGCTACTCAGGAAGCTGAGATGTGAGGCTTTTAGTTCAAAGCCAGCTTGGGTAGGAAAGTCCCTTATCTCTTATCTCCAGTTAACTAGCAAAAAGCTGGAAGTGAGAGTGTGGCTCAAGTGGTAGAGTGCTGGCTTTGAGCAAAAATATAAAAGCTCAGGGACAGAATCTGGGCCCTGAGTTCAAGACCCAGGACTGGCAAAAACACACACACACATACACGAATTAAAGCCTGTGTTCTGGGTTGGAGGTGTGGCTCAGTGGTAGAGGCCTTACTTAGCAAGTGTGAAACCCTGAGTTCAAACCCCAGTACTGCCATAAAAGAAAAAAAAGAAAAAGCTCCTGGGCTGGGAATATGGCTTAGTGGTAAAGTGCTTGCCTAGCATGCATGAACCCTGGGTTCGATTCCTCAGTGCCACATCAACAGAAAAAGGCAGCAGTGGTACTGTGGTTGACGTGGTAGAGTGCTAGCCTTGAGTAAAAGAAGTTCAGGGACAGTGCCCAGATCCTGAGTTCAAGCCTTAGGACTGGCAAAAAAAAAAAAAAACAGCTCCTGTCCTTGGTTCTCATCTGCAAAGAGCTAGGCTCTGCAAGGAATTGAGATGTAGTAGGGAGTTACACAGTCCCAGGAAGACTTAGCCCTAGTACACCCTTACTCTCCTGAGGCTACCCAGATCTCTGCGTCCTGAGGAAATTGCCCATTTCCTAGTGGATCTGACCATTGTGTTCTCTTGCAGTATGACTGGTATACCAAGGTCACCTCAGTGGTGGTGGACATTGTGCCCCGGCAACTAGGAGGTAAAGTGGGGGGGGGGTCCCTGGTTTGGGGAGTTGGGGGGTGGAGAATTCAGTGGCAACTATAGCTCTGTGAGTTCGGCTGTTTGTGAGTTCTGTTGTATGCTCCATCTGTGCCTAGCTTTTCCTTCCTGGGTTCTTTGGGCTTCCTGCTGGGCCAGCCCTGGGCCCAGCCTCCACAGGGAGCAAAGCTGTCTAGTGCTTTTGCTTTCTGAAGCCACCCAGAAAGTTCCAGGAAGCCCAAGGGCCAAGTTGAGTGGACAGTTCCAGGATTACAGTGAGGTTGTTACTAAGTGCTTAGCCTGTACAAGGCCCTACATTTAATCCCCACCACCCACAAAAAGAGACAGCTAGGTGCTAGTGGTTCACATTGGTAATCCTAGCTAGCTACTCAGGAGGCTAAACTCTGAGAATTTCCGGTTCAAAGCCAGCCATAGAAGGAAAGTTCATGAAACATATTTCCCATGAACCACCTCAAAACCGGAAGTGGAGCTGTGGCTCAAAGTGATAGAGCACTAGACTTGAGCAAAAGAATTCAAGGACAATGTCCAGGCCCTGAGTTCAAGCCCCATAACTGACCAAAAAAAAAAAAAGGTGAGAGGAAGACAGACAGACAGAGATGGCCTCTTTTTCTCTTTGGGATTCAGAGATGAAGTAGAGAAGACCTAGATCTGAATCTCAGCCCTGCCCCAAATGAGCTGTGTGTCCTTGGACAGGCCCCTGGGAGCTTCCATTTCTTCATCTGTGAAGGGAATGGTTGTCTTGACCTTCCTTGTAGGATTATAGTGAGGGCTAAATAGGGAATGCTATTCAAGGGTAGGATTTATTGAGCCCCTGTGCCAGGTGCTACCCTCAGGCCCATAATGGACAGAGATTTTGGTTATAGCCCCTGATGTTGCCAAAAGCCCCGTGGAAGTAACTCAGGACATTTCCTTTTAGTAGTTCTGTCTCTTCTGGGTCCTCTATCCTCCCCCTCCCGACCCCCCCCCCCAGCTCAGTCACCTCCTCTTCACCACCGGTGCCCTGATTTGTGGGACTGCCATCCTACGTACGTTATAGGTACCCTGGTCATTCCCCAGTAGCCTGGCCTGCCCCACCCATGGTCTTGATCCCTTCACCCTGCACGGTTGGATCCAGACCAGGTCTTCCCGTCTTTGCAGAGAGCTTCTCTGGGATCTACTGCAGCCTTCTGCCTCTAGGATGCTGGTCAGCTGACAGCCAGAGAGTGGTCTTTGACTCTGCTCAGCGCAGCCGGCAGGTAAAGGCCACACACTGTGCGGAGAAGCAACTCCTCCAAATCAACTACTAGAAGCTTGGGACCTGGGGCAGGGCATAGGCATGACCCTGAGGTAATACCCAGCTTGAGGTCTCACTGGCCCCTTGAAGGACTAGGTGCCCTGGTACCCGGCAGCCGAGCCTTTGACCTTTTTGTTCCAGCCAGGAGATAAAAGAGAGCTGCCTCTAAAATGAATTCCTGAATATACTGTAAGGACATGAGGGTGAAGGCATTCAGTCATGCCACACTTCCTTGGGGCATATCATTTGGCTTCACATTAACTCCATGGCATTCTTTACCTTGTCCCTTAAGTTGTGGTGGGCTGAGGTTTGAACCTAAGCACTCAGGCAACTCCTTACCGCACTAAGTAGACATTACACACAGGTGTCTACGGTCATAGCTTGGCCCTAGGGTCCCTAAGAGGCTAGAAAGGAGGTGAGGGACTCTCGGATATACCACTTCATGTTATCTTTCCCTTCTGCCTTAGGACCTATTTGCTGTGGACACGCAGACAGGCAGTGTGGTCTCCCTAACAGCTGGTGAGCAGAGTTTGCGCAGTAGAGGCAAGGGCCAGAGTGGTGAGCCAGCCAGCCATCACTTAGAGTGTGAGCCAGAAGTAACACTCTCACCACTGGCCGATCTACAGCCTTAAATAAGTCCTTTGAGGACCCCGCCCATGCTGCCCCTGCCCCTGCCCCAGCCAATATACCACATCTTCAGGGGCTGCAGCATCCAATCATGGGCCCTGGCCCAGATTCCACACGTTGGCCCCACCCCTACCCTAAACCCTAAACCTCTCTCTTGGCCATGATCTGCCAGTCATCCTCTCTCTCCCCCTGCCACTCTACTCCCTAGACCCAATTGCTGTCCCTTCCCACTGAGGGGAGGGTAGAATGTGGTTGTAAGCTCATATGTCGCCATGTCTGGCAGTTCCTGGACACAGCCAGTGTCTACCAGATAAACCAGGGACTAAGCACTCACCCAGGGCATTTGCAGTTGAGTGTGAGAGACACCTCTCTGGGTGGGACACTGAAGAGTCTCCATCTGGAACTCTACAGATAGCACAGGAAAAGGTGGCTGCCTCTTAGTGGCACTTAGTGGGCCTGTGTTTTCTCCAGGAGGGTCAGGTGGAAGCTGGAAGCTACTGATGATTGACCAAGACCTTATGGTGGTACAGTTTTCTACACCCAGCCTGCCCCCAAACCTGGTAAGTGTTGGTACGTGGACACAGCCCAGCATGATTCATAAGGTTTGCAACTCCTGGGAGAGGAACTCATAGGCTAGGCAGGGTCTGCTCTGTCCTGAACAGGGCGCTTTGGAAGTGCTCAGTTTTCTGCCATTACAAAGCACAGGTAGAAAGGAGAGCTTAGAGGCTAAGGAGGGCAGGGAAGGGGGAGGGGTTCATATGTGCCTGTGAGTACCTTGGGTATATAGCACTCACAACAAAAGTCCATGCTCAGGTTGGGCATGTGGCTTAGTGGTAGAGTGCTTGCCTGGCATGCATGAAGCCCTGGGTTTGATTCCTCAGTATCACATATAACAGAAAAAGCCACAAGTGGCACTGTGGCTCAAGTGGTAGAGTGCTAGCCTTGAGCAAAAGAAGCTCAGGGACAGTGCCCAGGCCTTGAGTTCAAGCCCCAGGACTGACCAAAGGAAAAAAAAAACAAAAAGAAGAGAGTCCATGCTGTATTTATCCTCTGGAGGTTGGCAGAAAGACCCCAGCTTATTAAATGGGCAGTTAGAGCTGCCCATCTTCTACACTGGGCAGAAACAAGGTCAGGGAAGGCATAGCCAGGTCACCTGTGACACTTTCCTTCCCCTTGGCAGAAAGTTGGGTTCCTGCCTCCTGCAGGGAAGGAGCAGTCGGTGTCATGGGTGTCCCTGGAGGAGGCGGAACCCATTTCTGATATTCACTGGAACATCCGGGTGCTACAGCCACCCCCAGAGCAAGAGAACATGCAGTATGGTAAGCTGGGCCATCCTTCGGCTCTTCTATCTGGCTCACATGGCTGAGTTTCCTAGGAGTTCTTCTAGTCTGTGGTCATGGGGATTGCCATCTGGGAATCTGACCACTTGCACTGGGTATTATCAGGCCAAATCATTTGTGATGAGAAAATTTAAGTCCCAAAGCAAAGAGACCTCATACAATCATTCAAGGATAGTGTGACCACCCATCACCCAGAATACTGTCTTGTCTCATTGAGGCTTCTTGACAAAGGCAGTAAGGGCAGGTCTCTGTTCTACAGGTCAGCCCCCAGACCTACAGCTACAGACAGGGGCCTTAGTGGGGAAGTCCCTGAGAAGTAGCATTGCATTGATTCTGCTCCCCGCTGCCTTCTCCCTGCAGCTGGCCTTGACTTTGAAGCAATCCTTCTGCAGCCCAGCAGCCCTCCGGATAAGACGCAGGTGCCCATGGTGGTCATGCCTCACGGTAGGCATTTTGCCTGAAACTTTGTGCTCTTCCCCCTCACCCATTCCTCCGAGCTGGTCCATTGACTCTCTGTTCCCTGTCTCTGCAGGGGGACCGCATTCATCCTTTGTCACTGCCTGGATGCTGTTCCCCGCCATGCTTTGTAAGATGGGCTTTGCAGTATTGCTAGGTAAGCAAGGAAGGTCCCTGCACAACTCTCCTTGGATTGGGGTGAAGTGATTGGGCTGCGCCTGATTTGTATAAGCCGGGTGGGGGGGGGAGGAAGGGGGGGGAAGGAGCTGGGAGGGGAATTTTCTGTAGCCTGGTTTATTTTTCTCTAGTGACCAGAACCTGGGACCCACTCTGAGCCAACAAGTGCTCTGTGGCCTGGTTGATCATGTGAATTCATTTTGAGACTTGCTTGGCAAGAACGCCATGATTATTGAGTAGCAGACTCAGATCCTTTGGTCACTTCCCCCTGGTGGGTCTGTGGTACAGCTTGGTCCCAGGGTCCACTTCCCAAATGTGTACTATGGTATCCGGGAGGGGCTGAGAACATTGCCTGAATACCCTGTCCCTCCCCTTCAGTGAACTACCGCGGTTCCACGGGCTTTGGCCAGGACAGCATCCTTTCCCTCCCAGGCAACGTGGGCCACCAGGATGTGAAGGATGTCCAGGTAGCAGGGGGGGGGGGGGGCGCTCCTGGAGACAGAACTGGAGGGTTGGACATCAGGAGAACTATGTTATTCCGCTGGATACAGCATGCTCTGCCCTCCACTGTAGTTTGCAGTAGAGCAGGTGCTCCAGGAGGAGCATTTTGATGCAGGCCGAGTGGCCCTGATGGGTGGTTCCCACGGTGGCTTCCTCTCATGCCACCTGATTGGTCAGTACCCAGAGACCTACCGAGCCTGTGTGGCCCGGAACCCTGTGATCAACATTGCCTCCATGATGGGCTCCACTGATATCCCTGACTGGTGAGTCTCTCTATCCACACGTCCCTGTCCTCTATGCCCTTGGAGCGCCCCCTGCAGGTCTCCCCTCAGGATTCCCGAGGTGGCAACAACTCGCTTTCTTGCAGGTGTGTGGTGGAGACCGGCTTCTCTTACAGCAACGAGTGCCTGCCCGACCTCAGTGTGTGGGCAGAGATGCTGGACAAGTCACCCATCAAGTACATCCCTCAGGTACTCAGCCCTCCTCCTTCCTCCAGGCTGCCACCCAACCCATCCAGAAGAGAGAGCCCAGCTTCTAACTACTGCCCTGTGCCCTTCCCCCTCCCCCGCTCCTCAACCCCTAGGTAAAGACTCCAGTGTTACTGATGTTGGGCCAGGAGGACCGCCGCGTACCCTTCAGGCAGGGAATAGAGTATTATCGTGCTCTCAAGGCCCGGAATGTGCCTATTCGGTGAGTGCCACAGGATAGCCCTGGGGTAGCTGGTGGGCAGGTAAGCAGGGGAGATTTCCTCCAACCCCAGATGTTGCTGCCCCCCCCACCCCCCTTTACAGGCTCCTGCTCTATCCTAAAAGCTCGCACGCACTGTCAGAGGTGGAGGTGGAGTCAGACAGCTTCATGAATGTCGTGCTGTGGCTACACACACACTTGGGCAGCTGAAGCCCTGCCATTCTACATGAGCTGGTCAACCCGTCACATTCTGGCTCTTGGGGAGCTCCAGGGTCTGGCAGAGAAGCCAAGAGGTTTTCTGGCCTCTGGACTCCAGAGGTGGATGGAGGAATGTAAACTACATAGTCATAATAAATGAGGACCCGTAGCTTGGTTCCAAGCCAGCCTCAGCCCTGAGAGATCCTGGGTTTTCAGTGTAATAGCCACGAGGGCTTTACCTGTTTCCAGTATCAGAGGGGAAGGGGTTAATAAGAGGCTCCGCCTCTGTCTGTTCTGCCCAATTGGAACTCTGCACCAGGCTGGCTCTTTCTGCTATAGTCCCATCAGTTAGAAATTGCTCTGCCAGCTAAGTGCCAGTGGTTCACGCCTGTCATCCTAGCTACTCAGGAGGCTGAGCTCTGAGGATCACGGTTTGAAACCAGCCTGGACAGGAAAGTCTGTGAGACTCTGATCTCCAATAAATCACCGAAAAAGCTGGAAGTGGTGTTGTGGCTGAAGTGGTAGACCACTAGCCTTGAGTAAAAGGAACTCAAGGATAGTTCCCAAGCCCAGAGTTCAAGCCTCAGGATAGGCAAAAAAAGAAAAAACAAGAAACTGTTGTGCAATACTCCTCTACTCTCATAACTGCTTCTGTAGGACCAGCAAGGCCCTGCCCTTCCACAGAACCCAGAGGCTAAAGTAGCTGCAGATTCAGATCTTTCTGGCCCTCTCAAGTAATCATTATTGGGTGCTAGAGGTTCACACCTGTAATCCTAGCTTGTCAGGAGGCTGAGATCTGAGAGATCAAGGCTCAAAGTCAGCCCGGGCAGGCAGACAAATCCAAGAGGCTCTTATCTTCCGTTAACCAGCAAAAAGCCAGATGTGAAGTTATGGCTCAAGTGGTAGAGCGCCAGCCTTGATCGAACAAGTTAAAATGTCTACACTGAAGTACCTAGTACCAGCACAAAAAGAAAAAAAGAAATCATCAATTCAGCCTCATGCCTGTAAACCTACCTGCTCAGGAGGCTGAGATTTGAGGATCGTAGTTCAAAGCCAGCCCAGGCAGGAAAGTTCCCTGTAAGACTCTCTTTTTTTTTTGGGGGGGGAGGGTCAGTTGTGGGGCTTGAACTCTGGGCCTGAACACTGTCCCTCAGCTCTTCAGCTCAAGGCTAGAGCTCTACCACTTGAGCTGCAGCACCACTTCCGGTTTTCTGGCAGTTTATTGGAGATAAGAGTTTCATGGACTTTCCTGCCTGGGCTGGCTTTGAACCGCCATCCTCAGATCTCAGCCTCTTGAGTAGCTAGGATGACAGGCGTGAGCCACCGGCGCCCATCTGACTCTTTTATTTCCAAGGAACCACTCAAAAAGCAGAAAGGACACTGTGCTTCCAAGTGGTAGAACACTAGCCTTGAGCTGAAGAGCTCAGGGACAGTGCCCAGGCACTGAGGTCAAGCCCTATAACCAGCCAAAAAAAGGAAGGAAGGAAGGAAGGAGGGCAGCCAATTCAGTCTCTAGAAGCTGCAGCAGGTAAGAAGCACTGTGCACAGGTTTAAAGAGAAATTATAGCTTTATGTCTGACATATTCCCAAAACAAGAAGTCAGGGCCAGGCCTACTCCAGTTGCATCACTTTCTGAATCCAGTCCACAAACACAGATACACGCATGAAGATGGCTGGCCAGCGGGGCCGGGCACACACTCGGTTGGGGATTATAATTCCCTGTAGGACCCAGCAGTCATGGGTAAAGCAGGCAAGTGGGCCTCCGTAGTCACCCTGGGCAGGTAGAAGAACTGATGTTGAACTTTGAGCTTTGGACACCTGCAGGGACTACTAACTTCCTTCATGATGACACAAGGACCTTTCCAGACCTTTCCCCACCCCTGGGCTGGCCTCAGAGCCTCTACCACTCACCTCACAGGCCCCTGTAGGGACCAACAGCCCTTCCGTGCACATCTCATTCTCGTGGACACGCCCTCGGTGCTTTACGTTACATTCCTGGTTGGAGATGACGTTCATCGACGCTACATGTAAGACTGAGGCACCACTTGATCCTGTGTGAGGAGATTCAGAAGGGTGAGGAAAAGAACCTGGGGCAGAAGGGCCCAATACGGGGCCTCTGAGCCAATGCCCTGGAAGAGTCCACTCACCTTTGCCCTCTCCCCAGCCTGCAATCTCACACTTGGTCCTTGGAGGTACCACATACCGCTCGGGGGGCAGGCAGATGAGGGCCACACGCTGGTTCAGGGTCACTGATCTTTAGCAGGAAAACGAGGGCAGTAAAGGGGCCGCAGATCTCAAGACCCCACCCATTTCCCACTCTCACCTTGTCCACGTACCTCGCCAGCTTGAGCAGTACAAGCTGGGAACTCGAAGGGCCACACACCATCTTGGCTATAGGAACCCGCTGCAGGTCTGGCTCTCCAGGCTGTGGGTTCTGGAACAGGGTACCCGACCAGACTTCATATCCCGTGAGAGGTTCGTGGCTGGGAGAGAAGCTGAGTTAGGTCATCCTTGACTTCTAGTCTCCTGCCCCCATATTTTAGCTTGCCTGGGAGAAGGGTAGAGATGGGGGACATGGAGGGGGGTGGGTAGCTAAGGGAATTAAGGGGTCTCCAAACCCTAGGGAGGCTTACCAAGATGAGAAGCATTGCCGGGCAGTCAGTACCCACTTCTCCTTTACTAGAGATCCCCCACAGAAATGTTCGCCTTTCCTGGAAGAGTGAGGATCAGGAGAAGGAAACTGAGTCAGGGGCTACCTCCTGGACCTGCCAGCTTCTGGCTAGGAAGTCAGTCAAGTGGCAGCCCACATGGGACACTCTGGAGGTGGGGGGGGGGGAGACAGGCATCTGGGCCTCACCGATTACGTAAGCTGACCGTCCAAGGTGAGTTCCCTGGTTGGCCGCCTACCACGCGCATCATGGAGCGCCACCGGTCCATCCTGTCCACCCTCTTGCCACACTTCTCAAACTGCACCGGGACTGAGAAATGGGATAGCGTGGGGGGAAAGAAAACCCTCCTGGATGGAGGTAAGGTTCAAAGGGGGTGGTAACCCCACCTCCCCAGAACTGGCTCAGATCTGTACCTGGGGGTTTCAGGATGGATGGTAACTGGTCTTTATCTGAAAGATACACATTGACCCAAGTTAAGGGAGGGCAGTCTTGGAGAAGGGGGGGGTAAACTAGGGGAAAATGGTCACCAGCACCCACTACAGTGTTTCAAAGCGCAGTAGTCAAACAGCGTCCCGGGGTCCGTAGTATAACACCAGGGCCCGTGGCTGTCTCCATCTGGGTTCCGACAGAAGTTTTTCTCCAGTTGTGGAGCAGAGGCCGGTGTGAATCTAAGATGGGAAGGGGCGAAGCAAAGTTGTGGCTCAGCGTTGGCCTGTAATCCAAACTAGTCAGGAGGCTGAGAGCAGAGGATCGTGCTTTGAAGCCAGCCCTGGGCAGGAAAGGCTGTGAGACTCTTCAGTTTAACCAACAGAAAACCAGAAAGTTGGGGCTGTGGCTTAGAGTGGTAGAGCCTTGAACACAAAGTACTCAGGAGGCCCTGAGTTCAAGCCCCATGACCAAAGTTGGGGCAGAATCAGAGCTAAGCAGTCCCAGAAGTCTAAGCATGTCACCTTGTCAACCCCCAAAACACCCACACAGAGACTCACTGTGGTTTGTGGGGTGTCTCTGCAGACCAGTGCTGACATGGGATACCTTTGCGTGTCTTGTTAACCGAGCCACGGTACTGCTTTCCTGAGCCCTGGTAGCAATCTGTGGTGGGTAGGCCAGAGTGGCTCATTAGAGCCAGTGCTCAGCCTGGATCCCGCTCAGCCTCGAAGTTTCCAGCCCTACCTCTCACCCCCTCCTCTCCACAGCCTTACCCTCGGGCAGTATTTCATCCGTACAGCGTGGGATCTGGTAGCAAAAGGCCACGCGCATGCCGGGCCGGGTTGTAAAGCACCAGGGTGCTTCTGAGCCATCTGGGTTCCTGCAGAAATTCTCCCGAAGGTCCCTGAGCAGTGGATGGCAAGAGTCACAATCAATGCTTGGGGAGGGTCTCCCCTAACCCTCGAGCTTCCGGTTGGGATGCAGCTTTGAGCTCCACCCAGGCCCCTCTTCCCCACCACCCCACCCTTCCTATCCATCAACCCACTTGCATGCGTATTTCTCCGGGGAGAAGCCATGTTGATGTGGGCTCTGAGAATCCCAGCGTTGGCAGGGTACACCGGCGGTAGTGGTATTGGCCGTACCCCGGTAGCCTTCACCCTTCCCTCGGAAACAGTTGAACGTTGTGGCCACCTGATCTGGTGGTGCCTTGGACCCTGAGATGAACCGAGACTGGAATTGTTTTGTCAGTGGTGGGGCTTGAACTCTGGGCCTGGGCACTGTCCCTCAGCTCTTCAGCTCAAGCCGAGCGCTCTACCACTTGAGCCACAGAGCCACTTCCACTTCTGGATGGTTTATTGGGAGATAAAGAGTGTCATGGACTTTCCTTCCCTGGGCTGGCTTTGAACCGTGATCCTCAAATCTCAGCCTCCTGAGTAGCTAGGATGAGAGATGTTGAGCCACTGACACAGCCCGAGGCTGGAATTGGAGCTGAAAGATTTTTGTGCTCAACTCAGCCCCCTTCTAGACCCTCCCCTAGGCAAGCCATGTTCTGTCCCCCTCACCCCTTCCCCAGCGCCTCTAGCCCTCCAGACCCTGTCCCCCCCTCCCCAAAGTCTACCACAGCTGGGAATAGCGCAGAATTCCCGCTCAAGCTGCGGGTCTGTGGTGTAACACCAAGGCCTTTCTGATCCATCTGGATTTCGGCAGTAGTTGTCATCCAAACCTCGCTCCATGAACCTGAGAGTGGGAACTGACTGTAAACAAGACTCTGGAATTCTGATGAGGGGGGGCTCCCTCCCTCCCTCCTTCCCTCCCTCCTTTCCTCCCTCTGGAGGTGTGGACTCTGCCCTTAATCCACACATACTTGCCAGGATGGAAGGGATGCTGGTGAGGGTATTGCAGATCCCAGCGCTGGCACTCTCGTCCTGACTCTGTGTGGTCTACAGAGCCACGGTAATCTTCACCATTGCACCAAACGCAAGCAGCTGGAGAGAGAGTTGGTTTTTTGTTTTTTGTATTGGATCGATCAAAGAGGCCTAGGATAGATCTGGTAGCTGCAGCCAGGCGCCGGTGGCTCACGCCTGTCATCCTAGTTACTCAGGAAG